TTCTGTCACTTAGCAGTGTCTGATTAAAATTTTTATAGAGTTTGATAATTGACTAGATCAGTATTTTAATATTTTAAATAATTAACATTTCAATTTTTTTTTAAGTTTGTAGCATTTCTGAAATTATTAAACTTTTAAACTGCAGTAGGAGTTTTGGGACATGCTGTTCATGTTTCTCTGGAACCTTTTTGCTGATGCTTATTTTAATCACAAAAATAAACCAAGCACATCTGACTAGATACTACCTTTGAATTAAGGTCTAAAAGGTTGGGAAAGAAGTTTGCAAATTTCATATAACAGATGGTAAATATTTTGAAGAATAATTTCATTTAACACAATGAGAATGGAGAATACAGAATTTGGTCCCAAAATGATCAATCAATACAGGGTATTTAGGTGTATTATTTTCTCATTGTTCCTGTTTCTCATCATGCTAGATGACCTCTTATTTTGTAGAGAAGGGAAAAAAGAGAGGTAATACTGGGATAATTTCATAATTAAAAAGACTAATAATAAAAAAGACTAATGAGACAGAAAATTGATTCTTGGAGCAAAAATCTTTTAGTCAGCAGTTTAACACATTTAAAAAAAGGTACTGAATTTGGACTTCAATGGGCATGCTTAAAGATTATTTTAATTAAGATCCTATTTAGTCCTTCATCAATTATTTTGAGTGTCCTAGTTTCAAATACATTCCTTTCTTCTATAAACTTCTGAAAGAGATGAACACCACCTCCAACACCAAAGTAATGTGCTTTACTTGCTAAAAACACTTGTCCATTTTCATCCAACAAATTAGCTAAAGTTTGATGGAAAGCACTGTAATAGCTTGGATTATAAATGGTCTCAGAGGTAAGAATGATGTCATATTTTGCAAAAGCTTTTTTGCTGCTTAGGACAAGTTTGGAAAACTCATACCATTCCCCAGAAAAGAATCGACATCTGCTTAAAAGTTCTTGTGCTGGGTTTGAGTTCCTCCGTCTTTTCAAATCTGGCTCACTTACTTCATCATCTTTACATTCAAAAGTGGAGTTCACTATTACATTGGGAATGGTTATTTCATCAATTACAGTGCCATTATAATCTTGAAAGTGGATTTCTTTAGCTTTTCCCTTGAGGGCAACTATCCCCAGAAGCCCTGCTCCGCAGCCAAGGTCCAACACTCTTTTCCCAGCAAACTGCGCTGCTTCATCAGCCAGATAAGCTAGAAGGTCAAAGGTACATTCCCAGATTTTCAAACCTCCTTCATAGACACCTGTGATGAGATCAGAGTGAGAAGAAAGGCTTTGGGATACTATGTCTTCTCCACAAGAGCTGTCTTTCAAAAAGGCCATTTTCACTACTGACAAGTTTACATGGTGGAGATCTGGTAAAACTTCTACCACTTTATTTTCTACCACTTTCTTTAAATCTTTAGGGACATCGTGCTCTTTGGCCACTTTCAAACCAGGCTGCTTTTCTTTTGGATCCCTTATGACTTCATCTGATTTAACCAGTGAGTTGTCATAGACTTGAGAAGCTTTAACTTCTGCTGACAATTTGCATCTCCACAAAGGCTCCTCAGATAAGTCACATTCTTTGGAGGACCATTTTCCATCTTTCTGTTTTCCTTTTTGACTCTCTAAGACTGATGTCTTTCCTGAAGATTCCAGGCCTAAGGCCTCATCTCCAAAAGCTGGTAATTCATTGTCTAGGTGGCTGTCTATAGTAAAATTAAACTGGAATGCCATCTTCCCATTAAATGGACAGAACTCTGATATGCAAAGTGTTTCGTAACCATAAACAAAATATGAAGTAGTAGTGAAATCACTATTGATTTGAGGAAGTTTCAACATTCATCCAATGAATTTGTTAAAAGACATTTTTCCTGAAAAGCTTGCTGTGGTGAAAAATCTCTCTCCAGATATTTTAATCTATAGCCGAAGCACAATGTTCTTGAGTTCACTGTTGCCTTGTATGCTTTTATCATCTCTCAATTTTGCTACAGGAAAAAAAGAAACAAAATTGAATTTATCAAACCAGAATGTCACAATTTGCTGACCTGTGATATAAACTCCCCAAGACACAAAAGATTTGCATATAGGACCACTTCCTTGCCTGTTACTCCTAGGAACCTTGCCAAAGGAAAAAGTTCCGAAAAGCAGAAACAGTTTAGGGATAGCTATCTTGGTTCCCCTGTCTAAAAAAAAATCTTAAATTGTGGAATTAAAAACAATTGTTATGCTAGCTTAAGTTTCACCAATTATATTTGGTTTAACAAAGGATCTATTTAACAAATTCTGATATCTCTGGTAGGTCCCAAATCAACAAACACTTATTAAATCTTGGAGTTACAAAGATAAAACCAGGTTGAATGGCTTTCAGTCACATTAAATTGTATCAGTTAGACAGCTTCCCTCCCAAAATGGCCAGACCAGAGGGGGCTGTGGAAAGAGAAAAGCTGAGTACTTTGGCAGTAGGACAGGTCTAGAAAGGGTATTGGGGATAGGGATGGAAACGGCATAGCATAAATACATGATCCTATGTTCCAAGAAATAGATGCCTGGAGAGTGGGGCATGAAGAGATAAGAGGAGATGAATAAAGGGAAATGAAAGGATGCCAAAGGCAAATTTTTTTGTTTGTTTCAAAATTTGCCTAAGGCAGGATCTTTACTCAATTAAAAGCTTCTTTCTTTTCCCTGCCCACGACCTTGCTCCCAAGGGCAACAGGATTCAGGCTAGAATTGTCAATGTTACAGTTCTATTACTTTATATAAATTTAATCACTGAGATATTGGCTCTATGGAAAAATAAACGAACCCTGAACAAAGATTTACAAGATAACTTTTGGAACGAGAGCCCTTTATAAATGGAACTGCCTACATATGGGAAATGCAGGTTAGACAGGAGATCCTGAATTCAACATACTGTCCCATTTCTTACGACCATAAAGAAGGCAGAGTGGTAAAGTGGAAGGAAACCTGGATTTGGAGTCAGAAGAGCTGACTTTGACTCTAGCCCTGCTCTTTACCTGTTATGTGACCTAGGGCAATTCAATTATACATTTTTAAAATGTATTCAACAATGTGAGACGTACTGGAGGACGCTATAAAGACAAAAAAATAATCCCTGCCCTCTAAGAATTTACTTTCTACTTACCTTACGAAGATAAGAAAAAAACAAAAACAAAAACAAGATAATTTGAGGAGGAAGAGAGCACTAACACTTGGGGAGTTCTGGGAAGTTTCAAGTAGGAACTGATATCTAAACTGATCACTGAATGGAAAAAAAGGGATCCTCAGAAGGGATAAGCAGGTAGTCTTCCAGACAAGAGAGACAATCTGTGCAAAGTTTATAGATGAGTGATAAAATACAGCATTAGGAAATACCTTCTATGGCAATTCATCTGGACTACAGACTGTATGAATGGTAGTAATGCTAAATACAGCTGGAAAAGCAGATTGGAGCCAAATCGCGGTGACAGCCATTGAAGGTTTTTGAGCAGGACTGACACGGTCAACCCTGTGCCTTAGGACCTGAGAAAGTCATCACTTAACCTCTCTGGGTCTCAATTTCCTTTTCTGTCAAATGAGAGGAATGAATTAGGTCACAGATATAGGGCTGGAAGGGATCTTAGAGGCCACATAGTTAAAAATCCCTCAATTTACAAGCATTTGAAGAAGGGCAAGGATACATATACTTTAAAACCTTCACCCACGGTAGGCATGGAGCCATAGGGAGCAACCAAAGGGTAGCAGACGCTGTTTCCAAGGCTGGTTCACCTTCAGCAGGGGTCTAACTTGTTTCATGATGACTAAGAAGATTATAATAACTGATATTTAGATGACATTTTTAAACTTTTGTAAAGTCCTTTGCATACCTAAGTCCAATGGGTATTATTAACCTCCCATTACAGATAAGGAAACCGAGGTTTAGCTGGGTTAAGTGATTTGCCCATGCCCATCTAAGTGTTAGAGGTAGGATTTAGATCAGGTCTTTCTGATCCCAAGTTTAATATCAACAATAACAACAACAATAAAAACCACTACTTAATAGCATGTTAAGATTTATTTGCAAAGCACAGAAGCAGGATTCTGACCAGATCTTTCAAATCCCAAGTCTAATAATATTAATAGCAGCTGGCATTTAATAGCACGTTAAGTTTTGTTTCTGAAGCCTTTTACAAATACTAACTCATGTGATCCTCTAAAGTCCCATCTTCTTCGGGAAGCCTCCTCCAATCCCTCTTAATTCTACTAATAATTATTTCCTGTTTATCCTATATATAGCTTGCTTTGTATCTGTTTGTTTGCATGTTGCATCCCCCTTAGATTGTAAGCTCCTTGAGGGCAGGGGCTGTCTTCTACCTCTTTTTGTATCCCCAGCGCTTAACACAGTTCCTGGCACGTAGTAGGCACTTAATAAATGCTGACTGAATTGAACAACCCTGAGAAGTAGGGGCTGTTATTATCCCCATCTTACATAAAGGGAAACTGAGGCAGGCGGGACGAGACTTGCACAGGGTCACACTGCTGGTAAGTATCTGAGGCTGGATTTGAACTTGGGCCCAGCGCTTTATCCACTGCACCATTTAGCTGCCTACAGCTACCCTGGGGATCCCCTTCTACCTGTGTCATGGTGCAGGGAATCCAGGTTTTTGGGGGTCACTACGAGTCTGATCCCCAAAAGAAGCAGATTCCACACGTGGGACGCCTCGCTCCGGAGGACTCCAGTGACAAATCTCGGGAGCTCAAGCCCTCCCTGAGGACGTAGGCCGAGCCCCGTGTCCCGCCACTATTTGGGGGCTCCGAGGAGTGGGTCGACCCCTCCTCACCCAGTCCGGCCGCCGTCCAACCTCGGGTTCTGGGATTCCATCCTCCGCTTGGGAACGCTCAGCGTCTTCCATTTCCGCGAGGGCGCGCGCAGTAGCTCCCCTCCGCTCCAATCCGACGCCGGCGTCAGTGGGGATCTCGGTGGGAGGGAGTTCGCAGAGCCTGACGGGACAGTGGAGGATTATTTCCGGCGCTAGGAAAGGGCGGGACGCGTTTGAAGTGGCCAAACTTTGTGTCTGCTCAGAGAGAATGTCTCAGGACCGCGCGGAGCCGGCGACCACCGTGGTGCTGGAGGAGTTGGCAAGCTGGTCCGAGGACCTATGTCGTCAGGAGCTGCCTTCTGTCCTGCCCCGGCTTCTCATATCCTTGAATGTCCGCTGGGTCGGAGGGAGGCGGGAGTCCGGGTCCCTCCCCCATCCCTCACCTGTGGGATGCGCGAGCGTGCCTGTCGCGCATGCGCAGTGCTGAAGCAAACGAAAGGAAGGGTCTGAGGGAGTACTGCAGCCTTGCGCCGTGGCCCGATGGTGGCGGTGGGGCGAGATGTCGGGGTGCCCCTTAGCGTTCGGGAGAGGGTGTCTCTTTGCCGCCCGCGCTCTCTCCGCGGTGTTTTTGTGATCCTCTTTTATTCCTGTGGCTCCCTAGACTCCCAGGTGCATGATATCATCTAGGCTTTTTTGCCTCTGCTGTTAATGGTATAACATGACCCTTGATCCTTCTTAGGAGAATTCACACTGCTGGTCATTTGGGCTGGCCTTAAGTACCTCCACTGTGAGAGTGTAAGCGAGTCAGCTCCGTGGCAGTCTGGGATATGCTCAGCCACATCTGTGAGTTTCTAAAAGTACCTGGATAACAAATGCTTCTTACCTAATAACTGTAACATGTAATTATATATGGCGCAGCGGATAGAATGTCTGGCCTGGAGTCAGGAAGACTCATCTTCCCTAATTTAGATCTGGACTTGGACACTTTCTAGCACCCTCCTTGCCTTAGTTTCCTCATCTGTAAAATGAGCTGGAAAGGAAATAGCAAACCATTTCAGTATCGTTGCCAAGAAAAAAATTTTATAAATATTATTTTATATAAGTATTTAAACATAAATTACATAAAAATTATAACAGTGCTTCAGATGACCACCTGTGTCAGTTGAAAAACTCAACCTTTCTGGTACTCATTTTCTTTAACTAAAGTGAGGAGTTTGAACTAGATGATTAGAGGCAGCATGGCATAGTTGATAGAATACTGGGTTTGAAGTGAGGAGTCCCACTTCAGAAACTCTTTAGCTGTGTGAAATAACAGCCGAGTCTCAATTCTTCGTAAATGAGGGGGTTACAATCATCTCAGATCGCCTTAAAGGTCCCTTCTGCCTATATAGGATACTAAGAACTCCACAGGCCCTTTGAGCCCTAAAATTTATGACCACATCTTCAAATTGTCAACACAAAAATAATCTCCAGAGTGGGTTTTATAATGTGGGAAGGTAAACAAAAAAAAAAAAGAAAAAGAAAAATATAGCCTTAAAACTAAAAACCAAATGCATTTGGATGATTAGTTAAATGTTAGAATTTGGTAGGATCATGTTGATTTCAGTTTAGGATCCAATGTCTGAGATTTCAGTGAAGATAATAGTAACTTATATGCTACTTTATAGTTTACAACAACCTTGTTGCATCAACTATTACTTCAAAGTATTGCAAGTATTTAACTCTTTTTATAGATGAAAGAATAGAATTTGAGAGGTTATGTAATTGACCTGAGGTCACATAGGTTCTAAATGTTGGAGCTGGAACTTGAACCCAGATCATTCGAAGCCTAGTCCAGATTCTTGATTATTGCATGAGGGAAGCCTTGTAATTTAATAGTTTACCTCACTAGCCCTAAAACATTAATATGAAAGTCTCATAGACTACTAGAGGTAGAAAAGACCTAAGGTGTGCTCTTTCCAACCCCTTCCTTTTGCAGGTGAGGAAAGAGAACCCCAGAGAGGTCTCCTTATACTGAGGGTTCTTCATTTGTGATCTATGAACTTAAAAAAAATTGATAACTCTTTCAATATAATTGGTTTTGTGATCTTATGCATCTTGTTTTATGCATTTAAAAACATTCTGAGGAGGGATTCATAAGGCTTCATCAGACTGTTAAAGGGAACTATCCAGGAATCAAAAAAGGTTAAGGAGACCTGTGCCTTACAGGTCTTTTTTTCTGTAATTTGTTCATTCAGGGAAGATTACATAGGATAACTTTTATTCGGCACTCACCATTAATATTTGTAGAGATTCTGAAAGAGGTGAAATGTTATTATATGTGGATATGAATTATGTTGTATAAAACTATCTAGACATTGCTACTTTCTACTTTTGTGACTTTGGGTAAATTATTTAATCCCTCTGGGCCTCAGTTTATTAAATGAAGGGGTTGAACTAGATGATCGCTAAGGTTCTTTCCAGCTCTAAATATATGTTTCTGATTTACATGTTAACCAGGAGTTTATTTTAAATCTTACAATAAGAAAAGTAACCAGTAACTCTGTACACTAAATAACCAGTGACTTTGTGCTGAATTGGCTTGATTGTATTCAGGATGCGTTTATAGGCAGGATTTTTGTTGAGGCCTGTACTAAGAAAATTTCCGGTGTTCAATTCAATAAATATGTTGTTTATATTATAATTAAATCATAATTATATTATAATGACACTGCATTCCAAGAAAGGTTCTTGTTGAAATGACTAATATTTTCAGGTTGTTGGAAAGCCCATTTTCAAACTGGTGGCTATTTCAAATTATGCTGGGTGTTCCTTAATTAGTTTACTCTATGTATCAGTGTTCTGATAACTGGAAGGATCACATACGTAAGTAAGAATGTCTTGATTGTGTGGTTCTTAATTTTCGTGTCAGTGAAGTCTAGATTTTGCATCACAGTGGAGATGCCTTGCTCACTGGAAAATAAATCGGTGCTCATTTTTTAGTTTCTTATAGCTATTACTTTTAGTGAACATAAAGTATTTGACCCAGTTCTCAAGCTAGAGTGCTTCTCTGTTCAGAAAGGAAAATTTAATCACACTTTAAAAAAGTCAGAATCTGTGTTCTTTTTACACTTCTAGTTATGTGGTATCTGGATAAGTTTGTATAACTTACAGAATTCAGAGTTGGAAAGAGAGCAAACATGAAGTAGGTATGGAACTGCACTCAGGACCAGAAGGACCATAGATCACCTTTGACACGTTCTGGCTGTGTGACCTGAGGAAGACAATTAACCTTTTGGTGATCTAGGCAACTCTTTTAAACTACATGTTGCAGATAAAATGCTGACTTGCATTGGTAGAGAGAGTTTCCTCATTTAAGGGGTTCTTACACCAAAGAAATCACAGAAACAGGTCCTATCCCTGTTGCAGGGTTGGATAGGACATGAAAGGCCATCTTGTCCAAACCGTACCTTGTGATGAATCCCATCTACAGCATATCATAATGGTCATTCGGTCATTGCTTAAAGGTCTCTCTAAGTGTGTACTACCTTCTGTGGTAGCCTATTTCACTCTTGGACAACTCTTAATTGTTAGTGTTTTATTTTATCAAGCAGAAGTCTTCCTCTTTCTGTAACTTCCACCTGTTTTTCTAGTTTGGTGCCAGGCAGAACAAGACTAATCACTTTTCCACGTGACAACTCTTCAAATATTGAAGACGGCTTTCATCCCTAAGTCTTCTCTCAGTGTTATTCACCCCAATTTCTTCAAATAGTATGAAGACAATTCCATGTTTTACTCAGATTACCTCCATTGGGCCCTCACTATCTTCTCCTCATCCTTCCTAAAATATGGCACCCAGGACAGAACATAACATAATGCTCCAGATGTAGCCTGACCAGAACACAGTTAAGTAGGACCATCTCCCAAATATATGCCTATCTTAATGCTGCCTAAAATCTTAATAGCTTTTTTTTGGGTAGCCACATCACAACATCCATTAAGTGATTCGCCCAGGGTCATAGCCAGTACATTTAAGAATTTGGAATTGAACCCCCAGGTCTTCCAAACTCTTGAGTGTGATTTGTTCCTCTACACTAGACTGCTTTTGTATACAAAATATATACAAAGTAAATAGAAAGTAGTTATTAGGGAGAAGTGCTAACAGCTGGGAAGATTAGGAAAGGCCTCACATAAGAAGTAGCAGTTCAGGTGAGCATTTAAGGAAGCTAGAGATTCTAATTAGCTGTTTTCTGGCATGACTTGATTTTTTTAATGTTTATTTTAATTTTTTAAAAGTTTTATTGATGCCTTTTGTTTTTACAGTGCAATCATTTCCCCTCTTAATTGCTTCCTCCCCATTAATCCCACCCTTTTAGGGAGGGAGTTACATCATATTCTTCGGGACCAAGATTGGGCATCATATTAATAGGACCCACCTTTTTTGGTTTTTGTGAGGATCAAATGAGTTAACATATATAAAGGGCTTTGTAAACCTTAGGTCACTGATAAACGCTAGCTGTTATTATTCTTGTTATGATAAAACAGTCCATATAACTTTATCCAGAGTGGTTTTTGCCTTATACTCCAGGAGAGCAAACTAATAACAAAGAGGGGAAAAAAGGGTAAAAAGCCCCACTGGAAAACCAGTTGAACAGAATTAACACTTCAAACAAGAACTGCAGTAAATTCAGTGTTTCACACCCCTAGGTCCTTACCTTTTCAAAGAAGGTAGGAAAGTGTATTCTCTTTGGGGGGGGGGGTCAAGTTTGGTTATTGTAATTTCACAAAATGGTGGTTTAATTTTTTGTTGTTGTCCTTTCTACCTACAATATTGTAGTTGTGTATGTTATTTTCCTGATACTGCTTACTTCTTTTTGCATCAGTTCATGTAAATCTTCCCATGAGTTTCTGTGCTCTTTGTATTCATTATTTTTTATAGCACAATTTCTTATATTCCATTACATTAAATGCCACAAATTTGTTTAGCCATTCCCCGGTCATTGACCATTGATTTTATTTCTAGTTTTTTTGTTTCTACAAATAGTGCTATTAGGAATATTTTGGTATATAATTGACCTTTTTACCACTTACCTCCTTAGGCTATATACCTGGTGGCTGTTGGATCTCTGGGTTAAAGGTTATGTACATTTTAATTGCTGAATAATTTTAATTTACTTTCCAGAATTCTTTGGGGAATTCACAGCTCTCCTTAGTGTGTTTGTCATTCCACAGTTCATCCAACATTGAATATTGTCATCTTTTGTGATTTTTGCCAATTTTTGGGGTGGAAAAAGTAACCTCAAAATTGTTTTGATTTTCATTTCTTAATTAGTGATAACGGAGTAATTTTCATGTGGCTATTAATAGTCTGCAATCATTTTGAGAACTATTCATAGCCTCTGACCATTCTTAAATACCTGTTTTATTTTTTTCTGATTACTTGTATCTCTTTATTGGTTAAGAATTCTTCCTCAGATATATCTACAGCTTTAGTCATATTTATCTTTTCTCCTCATGTTTTTATGTGTAATTTTTAATATTCAGATAGATCATATAACCATTTGAGCATATTGTAGTTATGTAGTATAAAATATTGAGCTAAATCTAATTGAAATTGAAGAGTTAAGAGGAGAAAATTGATAGTCTGGAAAGTAGGAGGGAATGGGATAAAGGGTACTAGCTTTGCAAGATGGAGAGCTCTAAGATGGGTACCTTGAGGGTCTATACTCCTTGGCTTACAACCTATTCATTCTTCAACCCTTAATAGTCAAGTTTTTGTCCCCCACTTTTCTGAAACTCTTCTCTGAAATATTACTAATATGTTCCCTGGTTTACAAATCGGTGACCGTATCTAAGTCTTAATCCTCCTTGACCTCTCAGTATATTTTGTTTCCAGTTCTTTGCTAGCTTAGAGAGTACTACTATGAATATTTGGTATATATTGGAACTCAGAAAACTCCAGTGATAGGGGCAGCTAGGTGGCACAGTGCATATGCTCCCCCCCACCCCCCCGGAATGAGGAGGACCTGAGTTCAAATCCAGCCTCAGACACTTAACACTTACCAGCTGTGTGACCCTGGGCAAGTCACTTAAGTCTGATTGCCTGCAAAGGTTAAAAAAGAAAAAGAAAAAGGAATGAAAAACTCCGGTGGCTTCCTATTGTGTCAAGAATAAAATTAAAACGTCTCTGTCTAGCTTTTAAAGCCCTACAGTGCTTGGCCTCAGCCTGTCTTTCCAACTTCATTGGACATTGCTCTCCTTCTTGGCCTCTGTAATTCAGCCAAACTGAACTTGTCTCTTCCTCACACACTACAGCCCATTTCCCACCTCTCTGCCTCTACATTGGTGGGCCTCCGTACCTGGAACATACTTTCTTCTCACTTCGGCCTCATGGCATCTATCTCTCTTTTTTCAAGATGTAGCTGAAACTCCATTTTCCTCAGGAAGCTTTTCCTGATCCCCCAAATGCTAGTGCCCTCCTTCCCCAAACTTCCTTGCATTTCATTGTTTTGTATATATTTGTATTTATTTACTTTGTATTTACACTGTATGTACTTACATATTTACTTGTTGCCCATTATAACATCAGCTCCTTTCGATTTAGGAATAATTTCATTCTTTGTTCTCATATCCACAGTGCCTACCTCTGTGTTTGGCAAATAGTAGGTGCTTAATAACTACTTGTTGATTGATTGCGGTGTATCTCCAATATTGGGATTGCTGGGTTAAAAAGTATAACCAATTTAGTCTCTTTACTTGTATAATTCCATTTAACATGAAGGAAGCATTTTCTCTAGAGGCACACCACTCTGGTTTAAGTTACTTGATAGTTTTTCTTCTAAGAAGGGTAAATGGCTACTCTTGACATTTTAAATTGAAAATATTTTTTAGATAATACTTAAAAAGTGGATGCCCATCCTCTGGGGAATGATTAAACAAATTGTGATACACAAATGTAATGATGGAATATTACTGTGTCATAAGAAATGATGAATGTGATGAATGCAGGGAATCATGGAAAGATATGTTTGGTTTCTCCTTGGTTTCTACTCCATCAGCATCATCATCATCATCATCACCATCACCATCATCACTCCCCCCCACCCCCAATAAGCTCATCACCAGGAAGCTGAGCATCATGGAGATTTCTTTAGTTTTCCTACTTATACCCATTTGTACCCTTAGTTACCTCTTTCTCTGACTGGATGGCTTGAAGGGCAGAGCAAAAGACTCCCCCCATTGTCTCTCTTTATAGAGGGCTCAATTCCCAGCCAAATCTTCATTTTATACCAGCTTCTCCGCTTGATTTTGACCCTCCCATCATTATCCCCTGCCTGCTGTCCCTATTCAACTTCTTGTGTATTGTCTTCCTTTTTAGATTGTAAGCTCCTTAAGGTCAGGGACTAACTTTCTTTTTCTTAGTGCTTAACATAGAGCCTGCCATATAGTAGGTCCTAAATAAATGTTTATTGTATTTTACTTGTTTGAAGTGATACAAAATGAAGTAAGAACAACCCTAAAAAATGATATGCATAATGACTACAACAATGTAGATGGAAAGAAGAACACAAAAAATTGAAACTGAATGTTGTGAAATTAGGATGACCAACTTTGGCCCCAAAGAAAGATGAGAAAGCACTTCCCTTTCTACTGTATTTAAGTGGGGGACTATGGATGTGGAACACTGTATATAATGGCAGAGCTTTTTGTTGTATTAAATTTGCTTGTTTTTTTTTTTTAACACTTTTCTCATGTAAGAAGTGGCTTTTGGGAAGGGATTAGAAGGGAGTGATAAACATTGTGTAATGGAGATGATTTAAAAACAAAAGATATCAATAATAGTAATTTTGAAAAAAATATAACCTATACTTGAATTTTTCTTCCATATGTTAATATACTGTAGTCTCTGTCATAATTTTACTGACTTTGATTAATCTTTTCATAAAAGCATGCAAATCTTTCACTTTATAGGAGTTCTCAAGATTCTTACAGAAATGTTTCTACCTCATATCAACTACTTAGCATTGGAACAGTCATTTTTTTCACAAGTATTACCAAAGGTATGACATTTATGGATAGTATTATGTATTTATAAACCAAATAAAAGAAGGAAAGCTTTAACCTGAGAATATATTTGTATTTAGAATATCAACTATTAGAGAGACAGCCTTGGAGTCAGTAAGACCTGGGTTCATATTCTGACTATGACCCATATTTGCTGTGTGACCTGGGCAAATCACTTAACCTCTCAGTGCCCCAGGGAATTGAAAAAAAATTATTAGTTGTTCAATGGCAAAATTATTTTATCAGTTCATGTGTCCTTAGACACATTTTTATACCTCTTGTTTAAATAACCAAATGAAAATTCAGAATTCAGGATTGATAATGTAGTAATTAAATTCATTAGTTTTGTTTATCTCTCATATATTTTAATGATAGTTGTGAAATTCCATCTTAAAAAAAAAATCTTTAAAATAAACCCTTAAGAATGACAACAATTAAAAAAAACTGGGAAATTAGGAAAATTTAACCAGTTGACAGATTTAAGTTCTCAATAGTTACCTTCATGCTCCACAAAGCATGGTAGTAAATTTGTAGCTTAAACAAAGATTTTATATATGATTATCAGGTTCAAAGTAGGCTCTTTAATACCACCTTGAAATCTAAATTTTTTTAGCAGTCATCACTTGCCTTGGTTTTATTACATAGTCTAGTCCAGTTAGTTCATTTAGAGACATGATAGTGCAAATGTGAGGCCATTGTTCTTAGACCCAGCCACAATATCCCGTGAGAAACTATTACATAGCCCATTCTGAGCATCCAGTGCTGACCAGGTCTTTTGAGAAAGAGAGAGAGAAAATACATATGTATGTGAAAAAGGGAATCGAATAGGATAGTTGAATAGATAGCTTGGTAGAAACATTATTAGAGAAAAACATGCATATCTTCAATTATCTTAAATCTTAAATACATATCTTCATTATGGGTAAACCAGTAGAAAAGTGAGCATTTTTAATTTCTCCACCATAAAAACTGGATTTTAGAAATTTAGTTTTGTGGGTTATGTAGAAAACATATCTTAGTATTGCTAGGGTAATTTCAGATTCTGTGTTTGTTCTTCGATAGGAGTTGTAGCAGTATGTAATTTTTCCTAAATTTTTGTCTCAGAAGCTGTCAGTGTTAAGTAAATAGACAAAATCAGAGTGTGCTGTTTTATGTTCTTTTAAAATTGAGTCATTTTCTAGAGATTTCTGTTGTTTAGTACAAATTTCTTTGCCTTTCAGACTGTAAAATTATTTGATGATATGATGTATGATTTATCCGGTCAGGCAAGAGAGTTATCGAGCCAAAATTTAGAACTCCAGGCCACACTAAGGAATATTTTACAAGTAAGTAAAATCCTTTTGATTAAGGGGAGAGACTATGTTAAGAGACTATATAGATAAGTCAACAAGTGAGCAAGCATATATTAAGCATTAACTATATGCCAGACACTGTGATAAGCACTGGGAATACAAATATAAGCCAAAAAAAAAGACAGTACCTGACTTTAGGGAGCTCACATCCTAATAAAGGGAGATAGCCTGTAAAAGGAGGTTGAAAATCAAGGCAAGTGGGGTGTCAGAGGTACTTGAATGGAGCATGGAAGAGGAATCTGGAGGGGCAGGAGCACAACTGAGAGGAGTAAGTATAGGATTGGCCCAGGCCCCTCCTCAAAATGGAGATTCCTGAGAGGAACTCACAGAGGATTGGCCACAGGGATATTCCAGGGTAAGAAGACTGCAGAGAAAGCTTCCAGATAAAAATGCATTTCAGCACTATAAGTGTTTTGATGCGTATTCGTTATGTGTTACTAATGACCAACAGCACCAATGCCAAGTTTGAAATTTAATTCCTAGAAATTGTAGATATTGCTATAGAAATGCTTGATACCAAGAATTTATAGTTGTATTTTTATATGTATTTTCCTTTCTCTCTGTATGTATCCTGAAGTTGACCTCATATTTTCTTATATGTATATACTTTCCATTCCCTGCTCCCTTCCCCCAGTAGAGTGTAAGCTTATTGAGGGCAGGAACAGTTTAATTTTTGGTTTCATGTTCCTAGCCCCTAGCATAACCCCTTGAAAACGGAGAGATTTAATAGTGTTTGTTGAACTGGATTCAATTTACCCTACCTTGCCTAAAAAAAGAATGATATAATATAGCACAACCAACTCAAAATCCACATGCATATATTTAGAGCACTTATCGTTTAATCTTTTTCCTTATTTCTAGTCAATGGTGCAACTATTAGGAGCCCTTAGAGGATGTGTACAACATGTTTGTACTCTGCAGGAATCCATAGTTCTAGAGAATATACACAGCCTCCCCTCTTCAGTCCTTCGTGTAATCAAGAGCACGTTTGTACATTGCAAGGTGGGTAATGGCTGGAATTCTGAATTTATTAGCTAAAGAAATATTTGGTGGGTAGGCACTAGAATTTTGGAATTTTACAAATGGAAGTGACTGATGTACAGGGAAAATGAGGATTTGGCATTTTATCCAACCTGGCGAAATGAGATGCGTGCCCCATGGGATACCTTTATGCCCTGTTGTTTTGCAACAAGCTGGTTTTTTTTTGGCGGGGGGGGGGTGGTTTGCATTTATGTTGACTAAAAAAGTCATTTCATCAAAAATCTTATTGTTATAAAAAAAGATAGAGATTTATGTTTAGCTATAGTTATATTCTTCTGATGGTAGGAGAAAATGGATTAAGAACATTTACTTCTAAAGCAAGAAGAATTTTAAGCCTAGGGTCTGTAGACTTGGATGGAAAAAAAATTACATCTTTATTTCAACATACTGTAATTGGTTTCCTTTGTAATCCTTTTTATATATTTAAAAACATTTTTAGAAGGGGCCTATAGGTTTCACTAAACTGCCAAATAGATCCATGATACAAAAAAAAAGATTTAAAAACCCCTGCTCAAAAGGAAATAACTGGTCTTTCCTTGATTTATATCTACATTCCAGGTAGTTTCCTGGAATCAGTCCTAGAACTGATATAGACCTTGAAGTAATAGGACACAAGGAAAATCAAACAGCCTGACAGTTTTCATTCTATCTAATTCTCTGGAGGTCATAGATACCAGAGCAATGATTGCACTATCTGTTGTCCCTTTCACTTTCTGTGTAAGCAGCCTAACTCCCTTTCTGTTGATGTATTCCACTTTCATTTATACTCACCATATATATTTTCATTGTCATTTGGGTCATCTGCAAATTTGATTATTCTAAAATCATAATATTCTGTGATTTACAGCAACTTCTCACTGGGAAAATGCTGGTGTTAAAAGGCTGGGCTTTTGTGCCGTCAGACAGCTTGAGCTCATTGAAAGCACTGCAAAACATATCCCTTCCTCCTATTAAACTCTGGACCTGTGAAACATATAACCCATTATACCACTGAAAAAGAGCATTCTATGAGTTAATGAAAAGGAAAAAAATGCTTTCAATTGCTAGCAGGATGCTAGGGAGAGACTAGAGGTGATGTCATTCCTTTTGCCAATGCTGGTCAGCTCCTTCTCCATGACTGATTGTCCAAGAGTAACTTCTCAGGGTCATCCAGCCAGTGGAGCTGTGGCTAGACTTGAACCTAGGTCTTCAGCCTCTGAAGCCAGTCCTTTGTCCACTACGCTAAGCTATCTCTAACTGGCAAAATGAACTTGGAACTTTCTCTCATTTGTTTTCTCTCTTTTGTTTACTTGTAATCAGAATAGTGACTCTGTGTATGCTGGACGATTGCACCTGGTTTCAGATCTTCTTCAGGCCCTTTTCAAAGAGGCTTATTCCCTTCAGAAGCACTTAATGGAACTACTTGATATGGTCTGTATGGATGCTTCAGTGGTAGAAGAAGATGATACTTCAGATATGGTATCAGGTGCATAGACAAAATTTGTCCATTTATATTAACAGTGTAAAATTGCATTTTATATGACCCCCGTGCCCACCACTGTAATAAAGGTGATTGTTTCTTTAGATACTCAGTGTAAGTATAGAATAAGTTAAATATCATTGGATAATATTTTAAATTAATTTTTCTTGGCAATAAGTGATAATCTTTGTACTTCATTTAATTCAGCTGCTGTGCAGAGAGTCCTGTGCAAAGTTCTGGAGACGTGCAAAGTTTAGATAAGATACAGTCCTTGCCTCTGTAGAAGAAGAACAGGACACACTTACAGATGACTATAATGTCAAGAATATAAGTATATTAGGGTGATGCAAACAAATGCTACATGGGGTCTGAAGAAGGAAGGGAGTTGGTGACAGCAGAGGCTGAGAGGGATTAGTCAGAGAATGCTTAATAGAGGAGGTGGCATCTGGGTTGGACTTTAAAGAACTGCTAAGAGTTTAACAGGGCAAGAGGAAGATGAAGACCATTTCAGGTGTAAGAACAATGTAGCAAAATGGAGGTATCAGTATAGATAACTTTTGGGGCAGGTAGGTGGCTCAGTGGATAAAGCTCTGGCCTTGGAGTCAGGAGGAGCTGCGTTCAAGTCCGACCTCAGACACTTGACACTTACTAGCTGTGTGACCTTGGGCAAGTCACTTAATCCCAATTGCTTCACCCCCCCTCAATTTTATATATACATATATAAAACTTTTTCAAGAAGTTTGTTACAGAGGAGAGAAATGAGGTAGTGGCAGAATAGGGCGGAGGGTCAAAAGAAAGGATGTGAGAGAGCTGATAGAGGAGAAATTAAAAATATTTAAGAGAAGAGGTATGAAAAAAGAAGAAAGGAAACAAGCATTTATTAAGTGCTTACTTACTATGTGGCCAGGCACTGTGCTAAGCACCAGAAATGCAGATACAAGCAAAAAAGACAGTTCCAGCTCTCAAGAAACTTACATTTTAGTGGGAAAAGACAATACACAGAAGGGAGCTGAAAAGTGAAGGGTAGGGGGAGATGACATTACCTCGCCAGGTAGTATGGTTTTGAAGTCCAGAAGTCAGGGATAGAGACCCTAGGGAATGAAGACTGGCTTGTCTAGACCACAACATGAAGGCCTTGGGAGGAATATTAGGGTGCTAATTAGTGAAAAATCAATGCAAAAAAAGTTAGGGTTAAAGCAGGGATTCTTAGCCCTGTGGTTCATAGATCTCTTCTTTGCCTCCATCCCCAAGGGGTCTATAAACTTGGATAGGGGAAAAAATTATAACTTTATTTTCAGTAATCTCCAACTGAAATTTAGAATGTTCTTCAATTATGGATTTAGGTGACAAACATTATTCTGAAAAGGATCCATAGGCTTTTCTGGACTTCCAAAGGGGTCTATTTAAAAAAAAAAAAAAAGGTTGAGAATCCCTGCTTTTAAGAAAAAAGAAAAGGTTAAGAACCCCAATATTATTTTGAGGAGACCCAACCTTGTCAGAGAATGACTTTACAGTTATAGATGAATGAATATAATCTTGTAGCACTAGCATTTAGGATTAGCCATTCCCCAACTAGTCCATGTCCCAAGGGCTGAGGAGAATAATGTAGAGTGAGCTAAGAGGACCACAGAAGAAATTGGTGCTTGGGAGGGGAGGGACATTAAGTAAATGGTACAGATGTCAGTTGTGTTTTTTTTTTCTTCTCCTTTCTCTGCTTATTTGATCCTCCGTGCCTGGGGTTGTTCCTTTTCTTATTAAATGCTCTGAGAATAAGAATTTGAGAAGTAGTGTGAAGTAGAGGAGAGAGGGCTGGCCTTGTGGTCGAGACAATGTGAGTTCAAATCCTGCTTCTCACAAAGGTCCCTGTAACCCCAAGCAAGTCGCCTAATTTCTTAGTGCCCCGGGCAACTCTTGGGTTGTAGAACTATTGTTTATCTGCCTTGGTAGAGGCTCATGGAAGAGCTACTTGTGCCAGTGAAATCGTAGCTCTAGACAGAAAAGAGAGAGAGAACTTTATTCCTTTAGTGCGTTATAAGTTAGGAACAGCAGAAAAGTTGTGAAACAGCTCTATTTGTCTCCCCTTAAAGACTAGTTTCCTGTAATTGAAAATATTAAAGATAAAATTAAAACATCGTTTTATATAGTCTTAACTACTTTTAATGTAATAATTGGTGAACTTTGTCAGCAGATACTTTTTACTAGAATAGAAATTTATCCAGTAAGTTTATATTTAATGATTATTATACTGTCTTTTTTTGTAGTTATTCATTCAGTTTTGGATATCTGCTCTGTTATTTCTGATATGGACCAAGCTTTTCATGCCAACACTTGGAAGTTTATAATTAAGTATGTATTTTGTTCTTTATATATTCCATAGTCCATGTTTTTACTTATCTATAAGTTATATTAATTTAATAGTTTATGAAGAATTTTTTTATGTCTTGATTCAGGTGCTTTGTTGTCATTCTTTCCCTCCCCCTTATCTCCTGTCTAATCTTCCCATGTCAACAAACGTGACCAAGTTTCCCCTATCTTTAAAAGCCTTTCCTTGATCCTTACATCTCTTAGGTGAATGTCCTCTGTTTCTCCTCCCTTTCACTGCTATACTCTTAAAGAATCTGTACTTGCTTCCTTAAATTACTCACCACCTTCAAGGTTTGGATTTTCAGTCATCTTTGATTCTTTTTCTCCCTCACCTCCTTGTCTAGTCAGTTCAGAAATCCTACCTGTTCCACTTCCGCAAGATCACTTGTACCCATTCCCACTTCTCCACTGACACTGCCACCATTCTAATTTAGGCACTTATCACCTCTTGCCTGAACTATAGATTTCCTTTTTTCTCCAATCCATCCTTCACACATCTGCAAATGTAATTTTCCTGAAACACAAGTCTTACCAAGTCACTGTCCTATTTAAGAAACTTCACTGCCTTCCCGTTGCCTGTGTCAACCAGGCTGAACTGGCTTCTAACCTGTGAATGTCTGGAGCCAAACAGCAGGCTAGAGGCAAGAGAGTCAGTAATAAAACGGCAGTTTAATTTCAAAGTGAGAGTTGCCAGCAAGGAAGCAAATTAGATGTGCAAGCTTCCCCCTCGCGCGCACACACACACACACACACACACACAGTGAGAGAACATGCTGTAGTGTGGCCAGATCTCAATACTTACACCAGTGGCTGTGCAGTGATCTGTAGCCCTGACATTGAGGGGTAACAGCAATGATGAGACAAGTTTGATTGATAGCATAACTGGATCATAACTGGAACTTGTCCAGTGCTTGTCTGATCTCAGAGAACACCTGGTGTTGATCAAAGCAATACAATAATTATATGAAACAATTCTGGGATTTTGCTGTGGCTGAGATCATCTAGAGGGTGAGCACTAAGGATTGTTGTTATGCCAATCTCAGGACATAGCTTGCTTGTCGGGCCTTGGCTCTGGAAAACAGGGTGTCTCCTAATAGTATTTTGACACCTATTAGATGGCATACAAACTATATAGCCTGGCATTTAAGACTAACTTCCAGAGTCTACTTCCAAATTGCTTTTTTTTAGTTCCTACTACTCTCTTTCAGGAACTCCATGTTCCAGGCAGACCATCTTGCCCACTAGTCCCCAACATTCAACATTCCAACTCAAAACTCAACATTTTAACACCTGCTAAGCAATTCTATATGTACAATCCATCTCCAGGCCCTGGACGGTACTTGTTCTTGTCGAATCTTTCTCTTCCTTCGAGGATTGGGCTCAGTGGGACTTTATCACCTTAACTGAAAGTGTCCTCTTTTTTATTCACATTTTCCTAAACCATTTTGTTTAGGTCTCTCTCCTTTGCCTTTATTTTGCTTTATTCATCCAGGTCTCTGCCATATGCCCTGTATTGTACTACCACTTATTTTCAGGTCATGGCCCCCTTTGTAAACTTTAAACTCCTCGAGAGTAGATACTGTCTCTTTTTTCAAGTTTATGTTCTTAGTGGCTCATACTTAATAATGCTTGATAAATATCTGTAAAATTTAGTTAAATTTGTGTATGATGCTTTCTGGCACTATCCCTTTATGGGATTGATCCTGCCTTAGGAAGAACTTAATTTTCTTTATCTTTTCTCCCTTCCTCCAACTCAGTTTTTTTGGGGGGGGGGGGGAGTTAGGCAATAGGGTTAAGTGACTTGCCCAGGGTCACACAGCTAGTAAATGTTATGTGTCTGAGTCTGGATTTGAACTCAGGTCCTCCTGAATCCAGGGCTGGTGCTCTATCCACTTTGCCACCTAGCTGCCTCCTCCAACTCAGTTTTGAGAGTATTGGTGCCTCTCCTTCTGTGGCAGTGAAATTACAATTTGTCTGTTGTTCCTAAGCCAAATTCCAGTGCTATTGGGGAAAAAAAATTACAGAAAAAGATAGTTTTGAGACTATAATATAATATAAAAATTGCCATGTATTTTTAACAGTAAAGCCAGTCAATTTTAAAAATGATTTTAAAAATTAGAATTGTCACTATTCTTCAATAATATTTAGATATCGCTTACCATATTTTTGTAAAAAATAAAGAATTGATGAAACTTTCAAATGTTAGTTACTATTATCTGACTTTTCCCTTTATGTGCAGAAGTCAGAGATTAGTGTAATCTTTTGAAATTACGGGTACTAGAGAATCAGTTATTTAAGGAATATTTACTAGGGTGCTAACCATTGTACATTCACTTTAATTCAAAAGTTTAACACTTTTTCAATGCCTGCTATATATAAGATGCACTAAGCCCTGGTGATGCCAAAACAAAAATAAAATAGTCCTTGCCCTCAAAGAGCTTATGTTCTATTGTTACAATATGTGCGCAAGTAAGTGTAATGAAAGATAAATTAAGGAAGTAAAGAATACTAACCGCTGGGATATGTGCAGGCAAGTCTTGGAAGACTTTGTGGAAGAGGTGGCACCTGAGCTAACCCTAGCGTTCTGAGATGCAGGGATGAGGAAAGATATATTCCAGGCTTGGGGAACAACCCTTACAAATGCACGTTGCTGGGAAATAAAATGCCAAATTTGAGGAAGCAGTCCAGTTTGACTGAAATGAGGTTAGAATAGTTCATGAAGGGAGTAGCAAGAAAAAAAAAAAAGCCCAGACTCTTGTAGCCATGGCCCAGCCAGTAAACCATCCAAGAGGGAAAAAAGACTGGAGATCTAAGTAGACAATAGATCATGGCGGACTTTAAATGCCAGGTTAGGGAATTTATATTCTAGAGGCTGTGAAGAACCACTAAAGATACATCCCATCCCCATCCCCCCCCCCCCACAAGGGAATAACGTGGTCTGATTTCTGCATTAGGATGTTATTTTGGCAGCTGTGTAGAGGAGTGTGGATTGCAGCACTTTCTTTATTCATTAGCCTTGATAACTCTCCTTTGAAGCAGCAGAGGAGAAACAATCTAACTGTCCTTGGAAAAATAAGAGACTTAAGATCTTGGGTGGGTGGCTCTATGTGCCTCTTTCGGTGGTGTGGGTGAGCATGGGCACCTTTGTGTTGTCTCATACCTCTGACCCTGATTTCCAATTCTAGGTCTTTGAAGAGATATGTTTTTATGACCGAAAGGTCACCGTGTGAGATTTTATTTGTGTTAATCACCTGCTGAATTTCTTTCCCCAATTAGGCAGAGCCTTAAGCACCAGGCTGTGATAAAGAGTCAGTTGAAGCACAAAGATATAATGGCTGCCTTATGTGAAGACATTCTCTTCTCCTTCCATTCTTGTTTACAGTTAGCTGAACAGATGACACAGTCAGGGACACAGGTAAAACCTACTTTGATAAAAGATACTTAATTTATTTATTTTTTATTTTCATTTATTTATTTGGGTAGACAGTGGGGTTAAGTGACTTGCCCAGGGTCACACAGCTAGTAAGTGTTATGTGTGTGAGGCCGGATTTGAACTCGGGTCCTCCTGAATCCAGGGCTGGTGCTCTATCCACTGCGCCTCCTAGCTGCCCCAAAGATACTTAATTTAAACAAGAAAAAAAAACTTTTTCTTTGGCAGTAAATGAACCACATTTTCACTGTGGAGAAGGTCATTTAAAATTTGAGTTTTCTTCAGCTAGCTGATTGTGTTAGTATTTCCACCTGAAAATGCATTCAAAGGTTCAGTTTGGGATGCCTGGAACATACTTCATTGGGAGTAAGCTCTCCCTTTTCTCACATCTGCTGGGTGGTTGAAGTGGACTTCCAGTGCCAGGCCTCTGTTGGAAGATCCAGTGAATCAAGGCTTGAAGGACTGTAGATAAAAATTCAGGGTGGCTTTGGGGAGGGGGTATGGAGAGATGGTAGAAATGGAAGGAGGACAGAGCTAGAAAAAAGACTTTTAGGGGCAAGGGGAAAGAAGAAGGCCTAATGGAAGGAGAAATGACCTAAAAGCCGGTTTTACCCTGCCTAGTGTTTTTCCTGTCTTTTCTATTGCCTCCTGTCTTTGGCCCACCTGTATTGTTGGTGATTAGGAAAGAGGTAGACTATGGGGATCCTACATTGGTGTCAGGGCAGAATTTTCCTCCCTTTCTCTTGTGCATACCTGAGAAAGGAGCAGTGGAATTTGAGAATTTTTAGAAGGCACAATGGTAGGAATCCTGTGGCAGCAGCAGGACTGGGCTTCTCTTCTTGCTACCACCCACTGATCCTTGGTATTAGTTATAGATTCTTTGTCACTTTGCCTCTTGCTGCCACCTATTTACCTTGCCATCATAGGCCATTCTCCATTCAACACTAGGGTAAAATAAAAAGGAAAGAGAATTAGGAAAGGGAGAATTCCTACCGCCACCTGATTAGGATGACCATTTATGTACAAGTCTGCTATGTATCCAAGCCATTGTCTGTATTTAGGTCATAGAATTTTTGAGCTCAAGGAGATCTTAGAGATAATCTAGTTAATCTTTTTAAATTTATATAAAAATAAACCAAGGCTAGTAGATTTTGTTATTTATTGAGACCTTGCAAATTAGTGGCATAATAGGATTGAATTCATGTTTTCTGTCTTCCAGGCCAGGCTGTACAGTATATATGAAAATTTAACTATTATTAATTGAGCTATTTTGTTTTAAATCTATGCATCTATTTAGTGCTATTAAATATGACAACCACTACCCCTAAATGGGGCTTTACATCTTTCCATTCAGAGTACTAAAACTGAACTTGCATTATCCCCTTCTGTTCACTATGAAACTTTATTTAGGAGCCAGTGATTTTCACATATAGCCTTTCTGTTAATTTTTAAAATGCATGTATTTCTTTGTTTATGTTACTTGGGCAAATCTAGTGGAAAATTGCTTTTCCTTGGTGTGCTTTAAATTCTAGATATTTTCACTAAGAATTGAAGCTTAATTTTAAAGATATTCTCTTTATAAGTATTTTTCCTTATTCTCTTCCTTCCATTTTAATTTTTGACAGGATAGTGCTGACAACAAATTATTCCATAAAAGAGTTAAATTATGTCGTTTCTTTGCCAATTCTCTTTTGCACTACACTAAGGTAAGACTTATTTTTAGCTCTAAATGATTACATTTTCATTCATTTTTGTCCTAAAAGAAATAATTTCTTTACTACCAGTGTGATGATTAGCATGACATAGTGGATAAAGCACTGGACTTGGAATTAGGACAACCTGGATTTAAATCCTGTCTCAGTTACTTAATGGGTTTGTGATACCTGGTCAAGACACTTAACCTCTCTCATCTGTAAGATGAGAGACCTAGAACAGGGGTGTTCGGCTTCTAGGCCCCATGAGGCCCTCTAGGTCCTCAAGTGCAGCCTTTGACTGAATCCAAACTTCACAGAACAAATCCCCTTAATAAAAGGATTTACTGAAAGTTTGGATTCAGTCAAAGGGCTGCACTTGAGGACCTAGAGGGTCATATGGGTCCTCGAGGCCACAGGTTCTCCACCCCTGACCTAGATTCAATAGTCCTAAGATAGTGTTCCTTTCCATTCTAAATCTATAATTCTGTGACTGTCATATGTTTTTATATTCTGTGTTGTGTTAGATATAAAACTTTTTTTGAAGGATACAGAAGAAATAAAAAGACATTTCTGCCTTCAAGGAACCTGTGGCCTAGTTGGGTAGACAAGATTTAATATACATGAAAAAATATATTCAACAGAAGATGATTTAAAAATTGATTCTTAGCATCTCTTCCCCCCTTTTCTGTCCCTCTGCCACTGTCACTACAGCAGCAGAAGGGATTCACATGGAACAGGGGGTCCTTTTGTATTTGTCTTTGTATAACGGGTTGGCATGGTTAAAGCATTCATCACCAAATGACCAGATTATTTAGAAGTTGGCTAAACACAACTTCTTTAGGGACAGCTAGGTGGTGCAATGGGTAGAGCACCGGCCCTGGAGTCAGGAGGACCTTACTAGCTGTGTGATCCTGGGCAAGTCACTTATTCCCAACTGCATAAAAAATTTTAAAAATTAAAAAAAAAATTAAACACAACTTCTTTGTGTTTAGCCAGGATGGAGCAATCTGTTCTTGGGATCATGTTCAAAGATTCCTGGCATGGTAAAACCTACCAGAGCTTTCACTCTGCAGGCATATTCCTTTTAAGAACCCAGGTCTTCACCTATGATGAGATAGGAAGAAAGGGCTTGGTGGAAGAAACATTATAAAACAACTGCAATTGTGATAGGTTGTATAATAATAATCCTAAATATAATGAATGTTCAGAAGGAAAAATGAGTACTGGAATAGTCAGGAAAAGCTTGAAGGATAGGCAAAATTTGAATTGAATTGATTTAGGGTAGAAGAAAGCATTCTAGGCAAGGGGAAAAACCTAAGTGACATCTTGGTGATAATGACCATGGCACAGTGACTGTGGAACATTAATAGAATAGAGACTGTGTGCTAGGGAGTAGTAGAAAATAAAGTTGGAAAGGTTAAGTGTTCGGCAGCTAGGTGGTACAGTGGATAGAGTGAAGAAGACTCGAGTTCAAATCTGGCCTCAGACACTAGCTGTGTGACTCCGAGCAAGTCACTTAACCCTGTTTGCCTCAGTTTCCTCATCTATAAAATGAGCTGGAGAAGGAAATGGCAAATCACTCCAGTGATCTCTACCAAGAAAACCCCAAACAGGGTTATGAAGAGTTGGACACGACTGAAAAATGACTTAATGACAACAACAGGTTAGGTGTGGTCAGATTTTTATGAATGAGCATGAAAGCTAAATACAGGAATTTCAGTAATGCTGTAGGAAATAGAAAAATACATACACACACACACACACATATATACATCTATTTCTCTCCTTTAGAGATCTCATCTTTTCTCATGGTTTCAATGATCACTTCTACTCTGATTCACCTACCCCTTCATTTTCACTGCCATCACCCTAAACTGGGACCTCTTAATACCTTACAACTAACTAGACTAACAAAACAGTCTCTGAGCAGTTCTCTTTGGCTCTAGGTTCTCCCATCTCATCTGCCCTTCAACATGGCAGCCAGAAACCAGTGGTGTTCCTAAAACACCACTCTCATCATGTCATTCCCCTGCTTAATAAACCATTTTTTTTTTCTATTTCCTATAGCATTACTGAAATTCCTGTATTTAGCTTTCATGCTCATTCATAAAGAGGCGGGGTCCACAAAACATATATCCTCATCTGTCTGCCTGCCTATCTATCTGTCTGTCTGTCTAGGGAAGAATAGCAACCAATGGTGGAGCTTTTGGGGGTCCTCTCACTTAGGAAGCAGGGAAGGTAAAGAGGAGCCATAGCGAGAAATGTCATTTTATGCAGGAAATTGTTTTAGTGCTGTTTTCTTCAGCTTAATTATTGTCTGTCTTGATTTACTTTTCCTGTTACTCTTTCCTCGTGAGGAAAGAATAACTATTTGGTAATTGATGCCAGTATACTCCCTTCCTATATTCTTTTTTGGAGTTGGAAACCCTTGAACACTTGCCAGAAAGTGTCACATAATGTATTTATATTTAGCATTCTGGGCATCTTATCTCAGTTCCAGCAAGTGGGACCTTTGGGAGAAGATGCTATAAAGTCAGAAAATCTACTACCACTGAACCTAATATACTACAGTCCTTGATGTCCCCACTTTGTTAGCAGTTTAGTATTTAGAAAAATAATAATGATGATAATACCTAAAAATGTTTCCCATGATTGTCTTTATTTTTAGTTAATCTTTTTTTAAATTTGAGACATAAATGTATCTGTTACAATGTATTGAAATGGAAAAGCTATTTCCTATTTTGTATCTAGTTAAGAATTCTTGTTTCTTAGTGTCTTTTCTCTGGCTCTGTTTTTTATGATGTAACATCAGTGACTGAATTTTACTTTGCATTTTGATTTTAATGTGTATGTTGCTATCATTCATATGTATTAAATATGAAAATATTGAAAATGAATAGGTTATTTTTTAAATTTTAGGAATTTCTTCCTTTTCTCTCTGATTCCTGCTGTACACTACATGAGCTTTATCTTCAGATACACAGGTAAGGCAGAGAAAATCACGTGATTATTAAAATACAGATGTACCATTTGAAAAGTAGACCTCAGTTTCCTTATTTGTACAATGAGGGTATTAGACTTTGTGACCAGTAAGGTCCTTTTCATCTTTAAATCTATGATCCCGTTATCCTAAGAAGTAGCCAAACTTAGGTTTGGCTTCAAAACCACTAGGCATCATTTAAAAGTTAGCCACTGTAATCTTATTTTTTTCCTGTTGTCATCTTTTCAGTAAATTTTATTTGCCTAAAATAATGGGATTTGTAAGTTTCTCAGTGGTTCTCTGTTGGATTTTACTAAGTCTTTTGCATTGGGTTCAATAATAGGCATGTGACAATCCTTAATAAATAATATAAAGATGGTGTGACCAAAATCAGAAATACTGTGTAGTATTATATAAACAATTAATATTTGCAATTTGTAGTCTAGTAGTTTTTAATTTATCTTTAATGATGTCAAGTTTTATGTTATCCCCACTTAATAGAAGGAAAACTTAGATTTCAGAGATGTAAGGTTGTTTGCCTAAGAATTTATCATTAATAACATCTGATAGTAGTGCACTGAGTTTTCACTGTCTGTCCACTTAATAACCAAAATAACCAGCTCATGAAAAAAATAAGTCAATTAACTAAAAAAAAAAATTCACATCAGTTGTTTTTGTTGGATAATCAAAGCCCTGATTAGTTGAGCTGTATTACCTAAAATTAGACATTGACAGCTTTATTGATCTCAAGTGTGTCTTTGCTTCTGTTGTCATACAGTAGACTAACTTCTCCTCAGTACTGTCAGGAACATCACAATTAAAATAACTTTTTTAAAAAGAGGTGATTAAAACTTTGATAGACCTAGCTCCTCTCAGCAATGCAAGGATCTAAGACATCTCCAAAAGTCTCATGATGGAAAATGCTGTTCACATCCAGAGAAAGAACTTTGGAGTCTGAATGAGGATCAAAGCAAACTATTTGCTCTTTTTTTTTTCTTCTTCTGTTTTGTTTCTTCTTTCTTGTGGTTCTTCCTGTTGGTTCTAATTCTTCTTCACAACACGACTAATATGAAAATATGTTTAATAGGAATGTATATGCAGAGCCTATGTCAGATTGCATGCCATCTTGAGGAAGGAGGGGGAGAAAATTTAAAACTCAAAAACTTATGGAAGTGATTGTTGAAAACTAAAAATAAATTTTAAAAAAGAGATGATTAAGTTAAAAATCTGATTTCACATATATTTTATTTAAAAAACAATTTGTAATTCCAATAACCACAAGTAAAAGATTCTATTTATGCTGTAGTAGAGTATATTCAGCATCTTTTACTTTACCCTTCTCCCTGCTTAGCCTTTATTCCACCATTTCCTCTCATTTTTTATCCCCATTGTTTGCCTCTGTGGTTCCTTCCTGTATCTGTAGAATGTTGGTTCAGGACCACATTATCTGAATAACAATCTATTTCAAAAGGGTCCCATCTGATTCTCAACTTGGCACCTGAGAAACTTATCTATACACCTTCAGAATCCCACTTCTCACATTAGTTCCTCTCACATATCCCATCACTTATCCCTGGACTAGCCCAAACAGAATATAGGTGGATGAATTCATTTTTACCTCAGTCTCAGTCTGCTTTCCCTGATTCCAGGGGCAACATTTATTCTCTAAATAAATTCAGTTGCATTCTCATTCAGTACAGGTGCTTTCCTCCCAACTTCCCTGTTTCTATCAAGGACGACACCGTTCTTTCCTGCATCCAGGTTTGCAACCTTGGAGTCCTCCTCATCTTTTTATTCACATTTATCTCCCCTGCATCAAGGCAGTTGCCAAGTGTTGTGGACCCCACCTTCTCAACATCTCTCTTTTGTCCCTTTCTTTATACTTACACCATAGTCACCCAAATTAAGTCCTCCTCAGCTCTTGTCTGGACAATTGCAGTGGCCTCCTAATTGGTTTCCGTGAGTTTAGTCTTTCTCCTTTTTATCTTCCACACAGCTGCCAAATTAATATTCCTTTTCTGCCTCGTTATTCATGTCATGCTTCCTAACTGTGATTATACCACAAAGCTTTTTCCAAGGCTTCCTGCAATTCTTTCTATATACTCTTTCAGTGACCTCATTACCTCCTGTGAGTTTAGTTATCACCATGCAGATAACTCCCAGATACATCTCCTCTGAATTTCAGTCCTGCATTACCAGTTTTCTGTTGGGTATTTCCAGTCGGAGAGCTCAGATACATTTCAAATCTAACATGTTCAAAACAACTCATAATCTTTCTCCCCAGAGGCAGCTAGGTGGCGCAGTGGATAGAGCGCTGGCCCTGAAGTAAGGAGGACCTGAGTTCAAATTCGGCCTCAGACCAAACACTTGACACTTACTACCTGTGTGACCCTGGGCAAGTCACTTAACCCCAATTGCCTAAAAAAAAATAAACCAACCAAACACAAAAGTCTTTCTGCCCAAACTCTGGTCTTTTCCCAACTCACCTGTTTATATCAAAGACACCACCATGTTTCCAATTTCCAGAGTTTGTTTTTGTTGTTGTTCAGTCATGTCTGACTGTTCATGATCCCATTTGGGGTTTTCTTGGCAAAGATACTGGAATGGTTTGCCATGCCCTTCTCCAGCTCATTTTACAGATGAGGAAACTGAGGCAAACAGGATTAAGTGAAATGCCCAGGGTCACACAGGTAGGAAATATCTGAGGCCAGATTGGAACTCAGGAAGAACACCAAGTACAGCACTCTATCCTCTGCACCACCTAGCCCAGTATTTGTAGCCTGGGCTTTATCTTGACTTCTCACTCTCTCATGCCGCAGTTGTAGTCAATTGCCAGATCTTGCCATTTCTTCCTCTACAATTTCTCATTTTTCTAGTCCTTCTCTTTTCTCATAAATATATATTAATTCAGGATCTTATCACTTTTTGCCAGATTATTGCTACAGCCTCCTAATTGGTCTTGTTGCCTCAAGTTTCTCTCCATTCCAGTTCATCTTACAGACTGCTCTCAAAGTAATTCTGCTTAAGTACATATCTGACTTTGTGACACTCTACCCCCTCTCACCCTATTCTCCTTGTCCTCCCCAACTCAGTAAACTCCAGTGACATTAGTTATTGGTGTTAGGATAAAATATAAACTTCTTTTTAGATTTTAAAGAGCCTTACAGCCTAACTTCAACCTAAATTTCTAGCCTCACTAGATACTATTCCCCACTCCTGTACTTTGTGATCCAGCTAAACTGGATTTCTTTCTCTTTGTTACTCCCATACTATACTCCTCCTGTCTCCATGTTTCTCTACTGGTGATCCCTAGGCCTAAAGTGCACTGCCTCTTTACCTCTGTCTCACTTCCTTTAAGGCATAGCTCAAGCACCATCAGCTTACTGAAGTATGTCCTGATACCCTCTGTGTACTAATGTTATTCCTTCCAAACTACCTTTTGTTTCATTATATTCTTCCTGAAACCTTTGGTGCTTTTGGTCCTGTTTCTTACCTTCCCCTCTCCCCCGCCATTTTCCTTATCACTTATTTCCTGACTTCCCCAGTCTGGTTGTGATTTCCTTGGTGTCTGGCTTTCAAAGCATCTCAACCTTCTCCCACAGTAGGCAATTCACAGTTCATCAGCCTAGATCTCTTCCCCAACTGACTTTTGAGTGGTCAGAATTGGCCTGTCATTTTTGGTAGAGTGCTTTATAATCTTCTTCCTCCTACCCCATCACCAAACACACACGCACATGCACACCATGTCTTGTCCTGGTGACCTGTCCTTCCTCCTTTGTTCCTCAGTTCTGTGGCCCAACATCTGCATTTCAAAGCCTGTTTTTCCTGGCATCTCCAGTTCAGAGCTGTTGCTAAGCAGGCTGTCAAGGGCTGAGCACACTTCCATAGCCTGGCACTGGTGATTCCCTGGCACTGGAAAGAGGGAAGGGTGACTAGAGTGCAGGAGTGGGTTTTGATGTAAGCCTATATTATGTCCTTGGGTCTGCTAGTGCAGCCTTGCTGCTGATACTGTGGGAGGTGTGAGACAGGGGCTGAGTGAGCTCAGAGTTGGTGTCAGTTCCTGGGTTTTTTTTTTTTAAAGCCTTCTTTTGCATTTTGGACATAACTAGATCTTGGAGACAGCTTAAGTTGCTTTATCTTTGGTGCATAATTTCTGTTTTGGAGAGGTTTGAGAGGTCTTGGGGATCAGAGAAAATATGTAGTCCACCATTTTATTGCTCATATGTCCTGAAAGTCCACAATTTGTGTGTGTGTGTGTGTGTGTGTGTGCATATATCCACACACATACATATTTGTGTGTATGTAGTTGTGTGTATTAACTTGATGTTTGTACTTTATATATATTTTTACATGTACTTGTCTCTCTCATTACACTGTAATCTACTTGTGAGCAGAGATTATTTCATTCTTTGTATTTGTATCCACATTGCCCAACACACAGAAAGACTTTTAATAAATACTTATTAGTTGATTGATGAGTCCTCAAGTGTAAGTCTGACTATGTCACACTTATTTAAGAAGCAGCTTTGGGGTTTGTGTGGGGGGGGTTTTTAGGATAAAATGTTAACTCCTCTCTTTAGCATTTAATGTCCTTCACAATCTGACTCCACGTTTGCTTCCAGGCAGATTATACAATATTCTTCTTAACATTGTATATTCCAGTGAAATGGGCTTGCTTGTTGCTTCTCATAAAGGATATCGCATCTCCTACCTCATTGCCTTTGCACAGACTATCCCAATCACTATGAATTTATTCTGTATATAATTTACATTTACTTGTCTGTGAATGTGTTGTATCTTTTGCCCTCCTTTAGAATGTAAGCTCCTTGAGGGCAAAAATTGATTTCCTTTTGTATTTGTATCTCCAGTGCATTGCATAGTGACTGATACATAGTAGGTACTTAATAATTGATATCTAACCTTTACCTCCTAGTTTATTTTTAGTACTATAGTATATTTTGTAAAGCTTTGAAATTTTCAAACTTATTCCATTAACTACAATTTCAACAATCTATTGCTGAAACACTTAACAAAAATAATTTGCTTATGTTATTCATGGCTATTTAGTTCAAGATTGATATTCTCTGTATTGTCAATATGTTTATCATTGTTACAGAGTGGTACAATACTGTACCAGGTATTTATCTCAGGGATTAAGAAAGAAATATTCAAAGTGTTGGCCTTGATATTTAGTTTAGAAGTTAAGAGTTTATTTAACTGCATATTTTGGTTTAGACCTGCAATTTTATTGGTATGTGGAACTCCCTGTAAGAAAACTCCCTCTACCAGTACAGATAGCAAATTATAATCTTAGGGTGTTGCCCAGAAAACTGAAAGCAACTTGCCAAAGGTGCTACAGCCAGGGTGTAGCAGAGGCAGGACCCAAGCTCAGGCCTTTCTGGTTCTGACACCAGCACTATTCTTGTCACTGCATTGCCTCTGGATAAAATTCTTAAATAATTTTAGCCATTAGGATTTTCTATATTGATTTAACCTATTCTGATATCTGTTGATGTAGAATTAGGTACGGCTTAGAGATCACTAACAAAGATTTGGTTTTTTTTTTTCGTTTTGTAGTAAGTTTCCTCCAAGTCTGTATGCTCCAGTGATTCCTAAGGCACAAGAGAAGGAAATATTAAGTGTATTTCTAGTGGCTCTGGATCCACTCATCAGTCAGCTTTTATCATTCACCCCTTTTGTGGAGGCAGTATTAGGAGACAAATTAGGTAAGCTCCAAAGCAGAATTAATTTGAAGTGATATTTCCTACAGAACTGTTGTGATTATTTCATTCTTCTATGAAAAATAATTTAGTGTTTTGCCCATTGTCTACCAAATAAAATATAAAAATCCTGTGCATCATTTACCATTCAATTCCTGCCATATTTTTACTCCAATATACTTTTCCAGCTTTGTATCACACTCTTCTTCTTCGTGTATTCAGCATTCTATTCAAAGTAGGCAGTTCCCTGTCCTTTGTTTTCATTCTGCTTCCTCCAATCCCCATGTCATTGTTCATGCTATCCCCATTGCTGGAATTGGTTACCCTCTTCTCACTCCCTTCTCTTCCACCCTTGCAATCCCATTCTCCTCTTGTTGAAGGAGTAAGATACTTCCTCTTTCATGAAGACTTTCCTTAAGCTCCTTCCTCCAGATGAGAATGATCTCTCTTCCTCCTCAAATTTCTCAAAGCACTTTTCCTGGACGTCTTATGCATTTATTATTTATTATTTATATCTTTCTATCATAGTTATGTATGTATATGTCTCCCCCCGTCTTTCCTTATTAGATTATAAACTCTTTGAAAGTAGATCTTTGCCTTATCACTAGTGCCTGGTGCAGTGTCTGCATACATAGTGGCTACTTAGTAAATATTTCTTGGATTATATAGAATAATCATCATATCTTGCTGTGCACAGAATGATATTTTTGTGTAGATAATGCATTATTTCCCATTTCTACAACTCCTGACTCTCTTTCCCTCTGCATTTGCAACTGATTTAATTTAAATCATAAAAATGCCCTAAAAAGGTACATATATTTCAATCACCGGAATTTAATTTTAATTGAAATAATATGATTTGTATGTTTACAAATATGTATATCATATTATTCTGTCATTTGTTTGTCACCTTTAATTAAGACCTGTCTTCTGAGCTACAGCTTCCACAGTGTCTCCTTCTGGTTAACATAATGGACAAACTACCTTCTCAGCCTGAAAATGTACAGAGTCTTTGGTGTGAGAGAAGCCAATATTCTGAACATAAACCCAGGTAACAAGAATGTTTTTATTAAATATAAAACATTATAGATGGACCTACAATAAACTCTGTTATTTGATATGGTGCCTTCTCTAATCAAATGTTCTGATCAGTAGTGAGTTGCCTTTTGTCCATATATGGATTACCAGTTTTCAGAGAATTAAAATATGATGACAATTTAACACTAAAATCATTGTCAGCATGATTTAATCTTTGTAATTCACAAATTAATTGGATGGTGTCTCTTTTTTAAAATACTCGATCGCATATTTGATCATTTAATTTGGACATTTTCATGACGTGCAAAAATCCTGAATATCACATCTCTAAATAAGATTTCTTAAAGTTTTGTTGATACTTTTGGTTTTTATATTATAGTTATTTCCAGATAGCCTCCTTATAACTTTTCCCCATCTAGTGAGCTTTCCATTGTAACAAAGAAAAACAAATTAGCAAAATCGGCTGAGAAAATGACCATGTCTGATAGCATATAGGAAAAGAGGAAGGTACATTTCTTCACCTCTTCTCAGTGCCAGAATTTGTCATTTCAGTTATGGGATTCATTTTAGTCTTTTTATTTGAATCATTGTCACTGTGTGTTTTGTTTTCCTGGTTCTGCACAGGTCGTGTGGGTCTTTTTATGTTTCTCTAAAAGTTTTAATATTAATACTCTCTTATGATATAATAATACTACATTATATGTGCATATACCACAAATTGTTCAGCCTTTCCATTTCTTCTGATAACACCTTAATATGCCTTTATCACTTCATACTTTTGTTATTTCAGTCTCTTAATTGGCCTTTCTCTAAACTCTCTCTTCTAAACTCTTTGTAGCACAGTTACCAGATTAATCTTCCTAATGCACTACTTTCTTATTCTCCTGCTCAAAGACATTTAAGTATTACCTACTTTCTAAAGGACATAATCCATAAACTTCAGCTTGGCATTTTAGTTCTTCTCCAGTCTGACCCCTAACCAGTTTTGTCTGATCTGTTCTACGCAAACATGCCACACAGTGAGGTTTCTTGATTGTCCCTGAATATATAGTGCAGTTCCCTCTGGGCTTTTGTTCATAATGTCCTCCAGTACTTATAAGGATATCACTATGTAAACTCATCCCTCTGAGATGCCCAAGTGAAATCTTCCATGAAGTTTTGCTTACTGGTTCCAGCCCACATTGATTTCTCCCTTCTTGGAACACCTGTAGCACTTGAGATTGCTGTTTTTTATATCTCATCACACCTCCTATTACGTGGACTCCGAGGATCTGTATGTGGGCCTCTCCTTTTTTCTCTTGACGTTCTCTCACTTGGTGGTAACCTTATGAACTCCCACAGGTTTAATTATCATCTCTATATAGGTGACAGATTTGTATTCATCCCTAGTTTCCTTTGAGCCTCCAGTTGCACCTCTCCAATTCTTTTGAGTATTTTGAACTAGATATTTTTTGGGCACCTCAAACTCAACATGTCAGAACAGAATTCATTATTTCCCCCTTATAATCCACCTCTCTTCCAATTTCTCTGGCAGTCTCTACTGTGTTTCTAATCTCCCAGGTTCAAAGCTTCCGCATTGTGCTGACCCTCACCCCACACAGTCAGTTGTCAAATCTTGTAATTTTTACTTCCCCAACAAACCTTATATCCATCCTCTCCTTTCTCACCACCCTAGTTCAGGCTTTCATAACCTCTATTTTTTTTTTAATTAAAAATTTTTTTTGCAATAACCAAAAATTGATTTTTCTTCCCATTGCACCTCTCCTCATTATTAATAAAAAGAAGAAAACTCTTATAACAAATAAGCATAATCTAGCTAAACAAATTCTTGTCTATATCCAAAAAGTATGTGTCTTAGAGACCATTACCTTTCAGTTAGGAGGTGGGTAGCTTGCTTCTCTCTGATCACTTCTTGCCTGAACTATTGCAATAGCCTTTTAATTGGTCTACTTACCTCATCTTTTCCCATTATAATCCTTCCACTGTTTGCTGAAATAATTTTCTTAGAGCACAGTTCTGACCACATCATTACCCCTATTTAATAAACTCTTCTGACCACCTGTTGCGCTTAGGAACAAATGTAAACTCCTCTGTTTAGCTTTAAAAAACCTTTACAACCTGGCATTACTTTCCTTCCCACATCCTGTTGTCAAGCTAAGTCAACAAACATTTGTTAAACCTCTTTGGTGTGTCAGGATCTATGCTAAACTCTCGGGATATTTAAAAAAAAAAAAAAGAGGCAAAAACAGTCCCTACTTTCAAGGACTCAAATGGGGGAAAGACATGCAGACAACTATATAAAAACAAGTTATAGAAAGGATAAATATTGGTGATAATCTCAGAGAAGAAGGTGCTAAGATCAAGGAAGACCAAGAAAGGCTTCTCAAAGAAGATGAGATGGTAGCTGAGACTTGAGGGGAGCCAGAGAGGCCAAGAGGAGGAGCCAAGGAATGGGAGAGGTCCGGACATGGAAGACAGTCTGTGAAAATGCACAGAGTCAGGAGATGAATAATGTGGGCACAGAGCAGCAAGGAGGCTGGTGTCACTGGATCATAGTGTATGTGGAAGGAAGGAAGGTATAAGAGGACTAGAAAGGTTGGAAGGGAGCGGGTGATGAAAAGCTTAAATAGTCAAATAGGATTTTATATTTGATCCTGAAGATAATGGGGATGGAGGGAGGAAGGAAAGAAGGAAGGAAAAAAGGAAGTGAGAAAAGAAAGGATGTATTAAGTGCCTACTATGTTCCAGACACTATACTAAGCATTTTGTAAATATTATCTTATTTGATCCTTATCACAACCCTGGGAGGTAAGTATTATTATGATCTCCATTTTATAGTTGAGGAAACTGAGGCATACAGGTTAAGTGACTTGCCCAGGGTCACATAGCTATAAGTGTCTGAGGCCGTATTTGAGCTCAGGTCGTTCTGCCTCCAGACTCAGCACTCTAATCGTCTGTGGTACTTAGCTGCTTCTGCTTGCTTCATGGAGCCAGTGAAATTTATTGAATAGAGCGGTAACATGTCAGACTTGTACTTTAAGAGAATCATTTTAATGGTTATATGGAGGATGGTACACTCTGACTGGCTTCTTCTTGTTCCCCTAAATTACGCCCCGTTTCATGTGTTCATGTCTTTTCTGTGCCACTTACTAGTTGTGTGACCCTGGGCAAGTCACTTAACCTATCAGCCTCAGTTCCTCAACTGTAAAATGGGAATTAGAATTCTGGTGATGATCATCTTTTTACATAGTATCTAGGCTGATCAACAAATAATAGACACTGCCTTGTTTCCACAATGGTACCTAAATTTTTTCCATCATGGAAGAACGTAGCACAGTTTGTACTTCATTGCCAAAGCTTTGAACTTAGTGATACTTCCTCATTCCAGTGGGTCATTAGAGTAGGATTTTTGTAGGGGATCTACTAATAATAGTAGTTTACATATTTGTAATATTTCATAGTTACAAAGTACTTTGACATAGGATCATACTTGGAACCCTCTAGGTCAAAATTGTTTCATTTAACAGGTAAAGAAACTGTGATTAAGTGCAACTCTGATCATGCCACTCCCATAAACTCCAGTAGCTCCTTGTTGCCTCTAGGATAAAACTTAAATTCCTCTGTCAGGCTCCATCATATCTATCCAGCCTCATTGTATTTCCTCCCCCTTCCCACTCTCTGCCATCTAGCCAATCTGGCTTTCTCTCTGTCCTTCACACAGTATCCAAGTCCTTACCTGTGTACCAGCCATCCCTCATTCGTGGAATGCACTCTTTCCTCACTTTTCCTTCATAGTCTTTGCTGATCACTCACTTGCCATCAATTGCTAGTACCCTCCCTCTTCAATGACTTTGTATTTAAGTATTTTGTATTTGTTCTCTATATACTTATGTGTACATAGTGTCTTTTTTGTTAAAATATAAACACATTGAGAGTAAGAATAGTTTCATTTTTTTTATATTTGTGCCTGACACAGAGTAGGCACTTAATAAATGGTTATTTGACTGACTAGTGTTTTGTACAAAGTCACATAGGTTGTTAATGTCAAAGGTACAATTCAAACCTAGGTGCTTTGACTCCGGATCCAGTGTTCTTCCCACTGCATTGTGTTCTAGTTTATTTTATCTCACTGAAATCCAATTCACTTGCAAGTCATGGCCTCACCTTCCTGATGTCATAGTCTTCTGTGAGAACGAAGGACGAACAACAGCAACCCCATGAGATAGAAGTGCAGATATTATCCCCATTTTACAGATGAGGAAACAAGGCTTTGAAGTTAGGTGGCTTGTTCAAGGTCATTCATCTAATTCATGGTAAAACTTCATCCCAAGCTTATTTTCTAATAGTTGAGTGTTCTTTCCTTTCTACTACCATGCTTTCATATCTACATAATCACACACATGCATATGCACATGTCAGTTATTTTTTTAAATTCCAAACTTAAACACAAATAAAATGAGAATTTATATATTCATTGCACAACAAGAAGGGATTGCTTATGAAACTCTGAATTTGTTATTACAGCTTGCTTCTCTTTTTAAGTGTGTGATAAATTCATGTAACTATCAATATGTGCTTATCAAAGCTGTCTAGCTTTTCTGCTTTTTCTCCTAGCTTTTCTTCTATTCTCTCTCTCTTTTTTTTTTTTTTGGAGCTATGTCCTCATCCTGCTCTAACCTGAACCCACGTTCCTGTCACCAGTCTAAAAGAAAAAAGAAGTGAAGCCTTTGTAACATATGTTTAATTAAGCAAAACAAATTCCCACTTTGGTAATGTACCCAAATACATATGTCTCAAACTGTATCTTGAGTCTGTCACCTCTCTCAGGAGTTGGGTAGAGCACATTTCATCAGTACTCTGGAATTGTGGAATCATTACATTCATCAGAGTTCTTAAGTCTTTCAAAGTTGTTTTTATTTTACCTTGTTGTCAATGTATAAGTACTTCTCCAGGTTCTGTTCACTTTACCCTGCAGCACTTCATGTAAGTCTTCCCAGGCTTCTCTGAAATTATCCCTTTTGTCATGTGTCAGGTATCTTTGTTCTATCTTTTAAAACATTTTTCTTGGCCTATATAACCCTCATGTGTGTTACTGTTTACAATCGTATGTTTGAGGATTAAATGCTAACCATATTGACTTCAATGTTCTTGCTTTCTCTAGGATGTCTTTGCTTGAAGCCATTTTCTACAGTTTTGAGCAGTGTTCAGGGGAGCTCTCTTTACCTGCTAATTTGCCAGAAGTTACGACTAAAGGACAAGCCGAAGTGGCTGTCACCTTATATCAGTATGTCTGTGTCCACTTGTGCACCTTCATTGCTTCATTTCACCCATCACTCTTCCCTGAACTGGTAAGCTGTGGTAAAATTTTGGGAAAAATTTGTCAGTGAAAACTGTAATAGATGTAACTCCTACTATTTTTCCACTGAAATTATGAAACATAGAAATTAAGAAAAATTGTGGAGTAGATGGAAAGAATGTTTCTATATAGTCTTCTTGACAGTCATTCTTCTTTAATATTTTATTTTTCCCTCACCTTTATTTAATATTCATCCTAGAAAATGGATGTTTATGCTAATCATAATTGGGTACATTTATTTCATTAACATCTTTTTAGAAGTGGAGTTGGGGAGGAAGGGGGAGGGAAGTGAGAGACATAGTGGGATAGAGTTTTAAATCTATAATCCTACATGAGGAGAGAAGGAGCATAATACATAAAATTTTGTTCTCTATTGATTCATTTAAAAATTAATCATATGTAAAATTTGGCCCTTTCTAAACTTTAGACACTAAAATGTAATTTTTTAAATGAAGTTGAATTCAAGACTATGCTTGAAAAAGAACAAAACTATTACCTATTATTCCATGTAGTCCCTCTTTTCACTGTCCCCCACCCCGCTGTCCAAAAAAAAGTACAGAATCTCCACCAGAATTTCTGGGGAAAACGATTGTTTTTGACAGGACGCTAGTGAAGTGATGATATCTTTTAAATTAAAGCCATACCCATAGGACCTCTATAGAAAATCAGTAATACTGGAAGCGTGTTTGAATCACTGGATTAGCATACAAGAAATATCAGACTGCAGGAGGAGGTTTCAGTTGCTGCAACACTTCTCAGTGAGGATTAAATACCACACTCACAAGGAAACTGAAAATGCTTATCTTACTTTTGTGTAATCTCAGACTCCGTCCTGGGCCCTCTTCTCTCTCTGAACTCTCTTGGTGGTCATGTCAGTTTACATTCCTTCAGCTATTATCTCTCTGTAAATGACTTCTGTCATCTCTGTGTAAATCTGTGTATCCAGTGCTCTCTTGAAGCCCAATTCTTCCATTTCCATGTCCCATAGGCATCTCAAAATCAATATGTCTAAAACAGAATTCATTTTCTTTACTTATAAATCCATATCTCTGCTCAGGTTCCCTGTTTCTGTCAAGTGTATCACCATTCTTTGGTCACTCTGGTTCGTGATTGTAATGATTAGATTGGTTCTGTATCATTTTTTTTTTGTTTTTTCTTTCTTTCTTTCTTTTTTTTTTTTGGCTAGGTAATGGGGTTAAGTGACTTGCCCAGGGTCACACAGCTAGTAAGTGTCAAGTGTCTGAGATCAGATTTGAACTCAGGTCCTCCTGACTTCAGGGCCAGTGCTCTATCCACTTCGCCACCTAGCTGCCCCTGTATCATTTTTTAATTGATCCTATTTACAGTTAATTGAGTTTGTCCTGTAACTGCCTATATTGTGATTCTTTGTCTCTGAACTTAGCTCAGAAATTCAGCTGGCCTGTAATGATTTAAATTTAGGAATCCAGTTCTCCTTATAATCATTGTTCTATTCTCATCTCAAGGAAATCTATTATCTTTGAGGGATGCAGGTGGACACCAGGGAATCTGGTTTAGTATCTTTACACCAGCAAGTGTGGAAATATGTTTAACATGGTTACACATGTATAACCTATATCAGATTGCCATCTTTGGGAAGGGAGGGCAGAGAGAGAGGTTGAAAAATTTGTTACTCAAAATCTTATAAAAAATTAATGTTGAAAACTGTCTTTAGATATAATTGGGAAAAAATAAAATACTATTTACAGTATTTTACTGTCTGGTTTGCTTTCCAAAGAAGTCTGATCCACTTTCTCTAACCTTGCAGGTGGACCTAAGCAGTGAGCATTTCTTAGTCATAGGAGGGAAGGAGGGGTTTGTTGCATGCCCCTCGTTCACAATTTCCAACTAGTCATACTGCCTCCCATGCCTCAGCCCTGTTACCAATCATATTGACATTACCATTCATGATGTTGAGCACTATTAACCAGTCATAACTTGTTCCCCACCTATGAAGTCCTGTTGTTTGTTCTGTACTCCCCAAACTATAGAAAAGAGTTGTCCCCCTCACGCAAGATCTTAGCTTTGCTGAGGAAGCTGAGATCCTATTTATTGGTAAATTCATACTTTACTAATAAATTGATCATGCTTGGATCTTTGTGCCTTGGTTTACTTTATGTTGACTGTCATAAGAATCATCCTCAAGCCTTTATTCTCACTCATTTTCCATAGTCAATCAGTTGCTGACTTTGTGTAGTCATACCTCCACAGCATCTTTTGCATCTGGCCCCTTTTCTCCATTCATACCAGAAGCATCGTCATTCATACCAGAAGCATCGTCGTTCAAACCCACCCAAATAAGTCTCCCTCCCTCCATCCTCTTCCTTCTCCAGTCCATTCTTCATGCAGCTACTAAACTAATCATCTTAGAGCACCAGTTCTGACCATGTCATTCCCCTGCTTAGGAAGCATCAGTGAATCCCTTTATCCTCCGTAAAATATAAATTCCTCTGTTTTGGCATTTCTAGCCCTTCACAATCTGGCACCAGCCTTTCAATCAACAGACATGTATTTAATCAGCAGACATGTAGACATGCGTCTAGCACTGTGTTAGGTGCTAGAGAAAAAAGGACAAAAAAGGAAAATTCCTGCCATCAAGGATCTTACGTTCTGTAGGGGGTGTGTGTGTATGTGTGTGTATGTAGATATAATTTTTAAATATGAATTTCTATTTTTATTAGGATGTCACATTATTGAATGCTGTACTTAATTCTGGAATGATCACCTCCTTATTAGCTATGGATACATGGTGCTTCCTGGCCCGGTAAGGTACAACCAAAAATTGCTGTTTGATGTATCTTTGCATTGATTTGTAGGAATAAAGCAGTGACTAATTGTCAGTTCAAAGGTATTTTGGCTGCAGGTTTAATCTTTTGCATAGGAAGAGTAGTAGTGTTGCAAATCAGAGAATCATTTTAGGTCATCTTTGTGAAGCCCAGACTAACATTTCTTACCTTATTTTCTGTCATCTTGGAAATGATTGAAGTTTGCGTTTCTTTTAAAAAATATTTATTGCCTTACTAGAGAGCTCATTTCCTTACTTGTCTTAATAAGTATATGAGCCTGAATTATTTCTGTTTTGCATCTTAGGTATGGGACTGCGGAACTGTGTGCCCATCATGTGTTCATAATAGCACATCTGGTGAGTAGGATAACTAAGCCTGAAGTCCATTACTGTACTTAGATATGTACATTCTATTCTCTCCTTTTATCTTGGAGAGTACTGGAAGTGGGAAGTAGAGTTCATGTCTTCTGTGATTAATTTCATACTTTTCAGAAAGAAGAATTAGAGATAATAATCATTGAAAACTGAGGAAATTGTTACATATTGAGAAAATCTTACACTCAGAATGAATTGGGTATGGATAAAATGAATTTTTAAAATAAAAAGGAACTTAAAATTGAATGTAAAGTAGAAACCAGATATTATGCATGCAAAAAAAAAAGTCTCTTTTTCTTCTGATTCAAATGAGACTTAACCTAACTTTCATAGTCGCCTCAGACTTCTTATGGAAATGGCCACTGGGTGGCACCACAGTGCATAGCGTACCAGGTCTGGAATCAGGAAGGACTCCTCTTCTGAGTTCACATTTGGCCTCTGACATTTTGTTAGCTGTGTGACCCTGAGTAAATTACTTAACCCTGTTTGCCTTAGTTTCCTCATCTGTAAAATGAGCTGGAGAAGGAAATAGCAAGCCACTCCAGGATTTTTGCCAAGAAAACCCCAGATGGAATCATGAAGAGTTAGACACGACTCAGCTGACTGAGTGACACCACCAAATGGAAATGAACTCAAAAGTGATTTCTGACTTTGCCTTTGTTTATTAAAAAAAGAAGTTCGAAAAAGGGGGAAAAAATGAAAGGGATGCTGGTATTTGTTTCAACTGAGAAGGAAACAGATTGAGGGAGTGAAGGCCATTTTAAATCCTGAGAAGTTTTGGACCCCCTGTGAAGCTTTTCAGTGGACAGGCTATTCTTTTGCTATCAGTACCTTGTTTGGAAATTTTAACTGGATTGATCAATTAAGGAATAATTTTTGTATTATAAAAGCATTTTCTCCTACTTGACTATATGGTTCTCCACAAAGTCCTACTCTGATCCCTCATCCTGGAATAGAGGTAACCTTAGGTTCTTAAAGTCTTTGCCAGAAAAGCAAAGTTGGTAGGTTCTCTCTTTCTTGCTGGAAAAGCTCATGGATATGGTCCCAGCAGCAGAATGTGTTTGCTTTCTGAAGATCAGCCTAGCTGAATATGAAGAGCCTCACCACCGGTCGGCTTGTTCCTTGGTGATGAATTCGTTCACCACATCAGCCTCTGAAACCAAGAAAAGTACAAAATATTTCTGAGGCCATTACGCACTCTCCTACCCTACCTTTCCACTTCAGCAGTGATGGTAGCAAACTGGTAGAAAAAGAGCGTAGTTTTTAGACTCAGCATCACGTAGTTTTTAGACTACCTAAATAGAAGCTTCTGATAATCCGAATTTGAGATCCTTGTCCAGTGACCAAGTACATATAGATGGAATAACTGAATCTTTAGATCTAGACATTCTTACAATAAAAGAAACCCAAAGACAGAAAGAAGTGGTGGCTAGATGGAAGAGATGACTCTTTGGGAGAGGCAAATGAAGAAGTTGGTGAAGTTGGTTACAAATGTGACCACAAAAATTATTTAATGGGATATTTAATCAACTCATGTAGTAGTGCCCATGACAAGTATTGCCAAGAAAACCTCCATGATAATAATATCGGTTTTATGCACAACATCTGTTGCAAGGGATCAGGATTTAGAGAAGACTGAAGAACTCTGTGTAAGATTCTCCTCATTCAGTCAGCATATGCTTTAATACTTAGTGACTTCAAGGATCCCAAAGAGCAGATGGTGAGAACGAGCCATTCTGATCTCCACAAGTATGTTCTGCTGCCCTTGCTTCAGTGTCCAGTTCTTCTTCACTGCTCTTCTTTGAAGGAAGTACGAAGTATCATGGAAATCATTTGTCCTTTTCCGCCTGACAGAGCCAACCTACTATGCCTGTAGAAGATGTCTGGGAAGGTACATTATCTCAACTCTCCCAATTCCGTGCCTGAGAAACTTACAGCTTAATAGGAAACTTAGGAGAAAATATGCTGAATGTCATGATACTCAAATTTCAGAAAATAGGAAATAAGCTGAAACTTAAGCAGAAACTGTACAATTTATTTTCCAAATGATTTTCCTCAAGAATATGACAGTGTTCTAAACACTTATGATCCTCAGTACATCTACATTTCAGCAGTACAGAATGAAAGATTGTAATGGAATTATGAAAAACTCAAATTTAGAAGGCAAAGGAATAGGTTGCTTTTGAATTAATGACCCTTAAAAATGAAGGCAGCAGGTGGGGGGCAGCTAGGTGGCTCAGTGGGTAGAGCACCGGCCCTGGAGACAGGAGGACCTGAGTTTAAATCCAGCCTTACACACTTGATACTTACTAGCTGTGTGACCCTGGGCAAGTCACTTAACCCTATTGCCTAGCCAAAAAGAAAAAGAAGATAAAGGCAGCAAGCAAAATTTTTCTCTAGAGGTTTGTCAGAAGCCATTCTTGATAAACTGAGAAAATCCTAAGAGCAATCTGTTCATCAGTAATTTAACAAAAATTAGTCAGCAAACATTTGTTAAGTGCTTTACTTGTTTGCCAGGCAGTTGCTGAGTGCTGTGAACAGAAATACAAGCAAAAAGACAGCTTCTTCCTTTGAGGAACTTATATTTTATCTAGTGGGACAAGACAGTTCGTAAAAGGGAAACTGAGAAGTGAGGGAAAGTAGGTATCAATGAGGGGGCATGGTGGCTAAGAGCAGAAAATTAGGAATGGTTGATCTGGGCCCTTCCACAAAATTGAGGCTAGGAGAAGAACTCACCAATGAAAGAAGAGGCCTGAAAGATCTGACTGAGGATTCAGCTGAGGCCTGGTGGCCAAGTTCACGTATTTTAACTGAGGGATTTGTTATGTTTGTAATTGGTCTGAGGAGTATTTCAGCAGTTTCACAAACATGCAACCAAAAATTCCTTCACAAATCCATACGAGTCAAAGAATCTGTGTTCAAATCCTGCCTCTGTTACCACCTATGTGATATTGGATGAGTCATCTGACTTCTTTCAGCTTCAGTTTCCTAATTGGTAAAATGAAAGGGTTGAGTTAGATGGCCTCTGAGGTGTATTCCAACTCTATATCCAAGATCCTATAGCCTGTGGTTACTGTGGGGGGGATAATCCAGAACGCTACCAATTTTGTTTGTGCAGGGTGAATTCTTAGCTCAGTGCGTTTGGTTAAATTAAAAAATCTTTTGTAAGAAGACAGATGTAACATTGAATGAATGTTACGTAGATCACTAGAAGTATAAATTAAATGTATTTACTTTGTGTACAATGTCTCAGTTCAAAATACAATAGCATTTGTCATGCTTCTGCTTGTATGACAGTTGAATATGTTGCAATATAATTTGGTATGCTGCATAAATTGAAAGTGACAATAATTTTCAAATTTATGATAGTAGTGTCTCTTACCAAATAGCAGTATTTTGGACATCATCTCTGAACTTGCCATAATGATTACTATTAAACTATTCAAATAGAAAGTAAATTATGGACTTTGATAGCATTTTTACAGATACAATAATAGTTTTGGAAGAGAATTAATGTGTTTTCAGGAAAAGCAATTGGATTTATGAAAAATGTCTAAAGAGAATAAAAATCCCTACTCAAAATAGTTTGTTTTGAAGGCAGGAATTACTTTCTCCATGAAATTAATAGTATCTTCTTAGCTTTATGTTTTAGCTTTTGTTTCCTGAATCGCTATAGGAACCAGCAAATGTTTTCATCCTAAGTGAAGATTGCATATGTGCCAGGCACCATGCTAAGACATTACAATTGTGATCTCATTTAACCCTCACAATAATCCTGAGAGGGAGTTGTTATTCTTATCCTCATTTTAGAGTTGAGGAAACTTTAGGTAGATGACTTGCCCAAAATCCCGTATCTGGTAAGTGTCTGAGGCCAAATTTGAATTCAGGTGATCCTGTCTCCCAGCCCACCACCCTGTTTTCTGTGGTACCAGTTGAAATATTTTTTTTGAATGGGGCTTTCTCTTTCTTGTTAGAATTTAGTTGGAGCCTGGACAGAATTTCAGAAGTAGCTACTTGTTTATGTAGTTTCTAGTTTAAATATTTTGTTTTCTATGATACTAAAAACCCATATTTATCTTTTTGGAAACTTATGTGAAAATTTTTTTTTTCTTTTTTTTTTTTTTGCAGTTAGGGTTAAGTGACTTGCCCAGGGTCACACAGCTAGTAAGTGTCAAGTGTTTGGTCTGAGGTCAGATTTGAACTCAGGTGCTCCTGACTTCAGGGCCGGTGTTCTCTCCACTGCGCCACCTAGCTGCCCCTAGATGAAAATTTTTCAAAACTACCTGAATAAATCTATTAGAATAAGGCTTACTTAACGTACAGCATTTGTTTTTTTCCTTAGTATTTAATTCTGCTTGCTTATAATGTTTCTGAAGGTTTATTGTTGATTAGACATTCTTCGCTACACTTGTTACAAGTCAGGTTACTGACTTGTCAAGCAAACATCAGTCAGTACCCAACTTGAAGAAAGAATTCAGATGAGAAGATATGTTGTGCAATTCTGATCTGACCTACTTAGGTTTTTGATGTTCACAAATGGGTTAAAAAAAAAACCATTTATATTGACATAGGTTATTAATGTTTTGTAAATTTACGAGATAAAAAAATTTCCATGATAAGAGGACCAGCCGAACCTAGAAAATTCTTCAATCAGCAAACCTTTGAATCCTGCTAAGTGAGAGATATTCCAGTCAAAGGCTACAACAATTTAGAATATTAACTAATTTGTAAGATGTGATAGAAGAGAGCTATTATAAGGTTATGAGAAGTTTCTGTTCATAAAACAGAAACAATGCAAGGAAAACAATTTTGCAGAAAACTTGGTAACAGACCCATTTAAAACAAAATCATTCTGAGGACATTTAAGAATGAAACTTGAAGAAAGGTAACCAAAATGTGAAATAGAAAAAGCTGTGTGAATATTTTTATATCAAATTCTTTCCTCCATCCAAACAACAGAACCACCATAATTCATACTGCTACATCAAAGTTCCTAATATTTACACGAGGAATTAGAAAGAGCATTAAAGAAAACAAAGATGATATCAGTTAGACTAGACCAAATATACACAAGGTCTATGCTTCAGAAGACACAATTTTGAAGGTGTTGAGCAATCAATCCTTAGAGTATCTAAAATGAAGGAAGCTACTAGACTTTGAAAAAAATCTAGAATCATAGTTACCTCCTCCCTTCCCAAAAGCAGCCATTCATGCTATCTGTACAAAATTTTTAAGACAACAATTCATGTAGGAATCAAAGACCACCTTGATGAAGTTGTGAAAAAGCAATAGGCAGATTTTCCCAAGGAGTATCATACAACAGACCCTGTCTTTACAGTCATACAATTGACTGACATAAAAGAATACAATATTCCACTGTCCTTGTTGTTTATGAACTGCTAGAAGAAAAAAAAAAGCATTTGATTCATGGACCTGTCTCCCATGCATAGATCAAAGTCACATTAAGTCCTTGAAACATAACAGGGTATAATTTTGTTCACCACTGATCTAAAATATTAAGTGGAGCACAAAAACTACTGTTGCAAAAGATGCCCAGCACCGAGTCCAAGTGGAACAGGCATTCCTTATCGATGGTAAGATCCTTAAGATGTTCTTATTTTCAAATTACATTGTTCTGATTATGCCAAGCACTGGAACATTGAAAAGGCTTCTCTAGGAGATCCTTAATTATTCAAAAGAACTGTAACCTAACTGTCTATCCTAGAAAAAAAAATATAATAAGAATGTTGTTCATAATAGAACATGCATTTGAATGGGTAACCTATAAATTTGGTCTATTAGTACATGTATCCTGGATAGACACTACACATGCATGGTCAGGGAGCTATGCCCAGAACTGAATAGGACAATGGTCTGAATTTTCTTTGGGACCCCAAAACTTCTCCCTGAAGCAAATGTCTGTCTTCTTAATAACAGAATTCTTCCAGAGATTCAGTGTGGCTACAAGTTTTAAAATACTGGTCTCCAAAGAATTAAAGTTGAAGGTCTCCAAAGAGAAATGGAGAGGCTCATGATGGATGTACATTATCAATAAAGAATATCTTCAAAGAAGTTTCTGACTAAAAAAGATAGGTCCGAGTCATGTGGCAAGAGAAGAATAATCAATGTACATCAGCATATTTCTTTGGTATCCACATAATGTCAAGGGAACTTGGCTATATGGCTCCCAGCCTGTTGGGTGGACCACCATGGAGTATATAGTCAAGGTGATTGACAGCAGGCCTAGAAGATGAAAGGGCATGGATCAGTTATGATGTGTCTTTAGCCATAGTTCCCTGTCAGTAAGATTGTAAAGCCATCAAAATATGGAAGAAGACTATTGTTTGTTCCTTTAGGGCAGAGACACTATTTTATCTAAATATTATGTCTCTCGGTGCCTAGCATAGTTCTCTCTATATATTAAGTGCTTAATAAATGGCAGTGGTAGTTCTTCAAGGATCTTTTAAATAAGGAATTTTTTTAATTCATTTGGAATATGGTTTTGAGTGAATCACTTTTAACTTACCTGCCTTTGAGCCTTACCTGTTAGTCAACAAGTCAGCAAGCCAACAAACGTTTATTATACATCCACTACTTGCCAGGCACTCTGCCGAATGCTTAAGATATGAAGAAAAGGGGGGAAAATTAGCCTCTTTTCAAGGAGCTCACAGTCTAATGGGGGAGACAACATGGTAACAAATATGCACAAGCAAGATATATATTTTCTATCAGGTATATTATACATATCTGGCCCCCATGCTGTTTCTTGCAGAAGACAACCTATCTCCCAACTCCTTGCATTTTTCACTAGCTATGCCTAGAATACTCTCGCTCCTGAGATACGTATAGATATATATAGACATATACACAGAGAGATGGATAGATAGGTCTGTGGATAGATCTTTAAGAATATATACATACACATACACACACGCACACACACACATACATATATACGCATATGTATGAGAGGTGAATTTAGAGATAGTCTAAGAGGGAAGGAAGATAGAGAAAGCTTTCCTGCACAAGATAGTATTTTAGCTGACTTATGTGAAATTATAATTAATTTACATTTCATCTAGGGCCTTGTATGCCATATAGAACTTTAGTAGTGGCAACAACTGAGATGTAATTTTTCCTTTTTTATTTTACAGATTAAGTCTTGCCCTGGAGAATGTTACCAGCTCACTAATTTGTCAGTTCTGCTAAGGAGACTGTTATTCCTCATGGATACAGACCATCAGGCAAGAGTGCTCCTGCCCTCTTTTGTCTTCCAACACACTGCTTTGACTTGAAACCAGATTTCATTTAAATGATTCCTGTTTTTTTTAATTTAAGTATAAATTCAGTCTTGAAGTGCCTTGGCTGTAAATTTTGAGTATAATGTTTTATTTAAAGAAAACACGTAGCTAAATGTAGATATTGGTTTGTTAATTCCAAGTTGTTATTATTTTAATAATGACTTTTTTTTAAAAGTCCACTTAAAATGCCCACCCTTCATTTTATGTACATATAAGATAACTTGAAAATATTTATCAAAATTAAAGTTTTTATTTAAAGTAACTTGCATTTTAGAAGAAAATATTAGGTCAAGTTGGATTTATGCATGTGATGGCATCTCAAATTTTTCTGCTGCTTGAATTGAGCTTTAGGGTAGAACTTATAAATATGATAACACCTTATTTATCCACTATTTTTGAGGATTCTCAGTCCACAAATTTCCAAGATGCCTAAAGCATCTTTCATGGAAATTCCTTTGAAACATATTATATCTTTACTTAGCTTAAACAGTAATTTAAAATCAATAACTTTTTCTTGGTGACAAGGGCATTGCTGTGCGCTGCAATATAGTAGCTGTTCTTGGGCTTTTGAGATGTGTAGGTAAGTTTATTTGTCCCTATATTAAATGGATCCGGATTATTGTTCTTTGAGAGTTTTTAAAAAATTTTATGTAATTGTTTTTTCTGTATCCTCCATTATCATACTGTCATTTCTCATTTTTTATTGTCTGTGTGACATCTTGAACTCCACTTTAAGTTGTGCCTTCAGGTCCTCTGTGGGCTGGAAAAATCAGAGAGCAAAACTTACTAGAGTTTTGTGTAAAGTAGAAATGCAAAGCTCCTTCAGACTCTTTAATGAATAAAGTTACTCATAAGTCAGTTACTATCACTAAGCTCTGAGGATACAAAAAAAGGCAATCAGGTCCTGCCTTCAAAAGAGCTTAGATTCTAATGGAGGAGACAATGTGCAAATTACTGTGTACAAACATGAGAGATGATGCACGAAAAGGCACTGACTGGGGTAGGTGGGGTTAGGAGGACAGAGGGGCCAGGGAAGCCAAGAGGTAGAGTTGAGAAGTAAGAGGGTTCCAGGCGTAGAGAATGGCCAGTGAAAAAGGCAAGGAGCTGGGACGTAGATCATCTTCTGTAAGAAAAAGCAAGAAAGCCCATGTCACTGGGTCATGCATGGAGGGCAGTAAAATGTAAGATGACTGGAAAGGTGGGAGGAGCCAGGTTGTGAAGGGCTTTTAAAGCCAAAGAAAGAATTTTCTGTTTGATCTAGGAATAGCAGTGAGTTTATTGAGTTGAGGAGTAACATGGTCAGACCTGTACTTCAGGAGGATCACTTTGGTAGAGTTGTTGAGGGTGGCCTGCAGAGAGACCCAGGGCAGGGGAGCCAACAAGCAAATTGGTACTCTAATTGAGCTGTGAGTGATAGGGGCCTACACCATCGTGGAGAGGAGAAAGGGATATATGCAAGAGATGTTTCAAAGGCAGAAACAAGTCTTGGCCACAGATTAGATGTGTGGTGAGTGCCAGTAAGGAGCTGAGACTGGCATGAAGGTTGGGAAACGGGTGACTGGGAGGATGGCAGTAACCTCGACAATAATAGTAGAAATGTTTTCTGGAGGAGACAGTTGGTGCTGACTAGTGTAATGCTGCCTACTGGAGGAATTATCCTTCTGGCAGTAGCAGATGCTAGGGCTGACTTGCCATTAGAGCAAAATCACTCACACAATGTATTGTGTTAGCAAAATCTTTGAGACAAAAGGAGGGACTGTCTAAAAAATATCAAAGAGAAAACTTAAAGACCAGAATATATACTTTTTTGCCTCACAGTCACTTGTCAACTTTATGTCAGTTGAGTACCATGTTTTAAATAAAGAAATAATTGTTTGTATAAAGCAGACCTAAGATCTTAATATGCGTTCAAATTACGTACCATTTTCTAAAAAATGGAAGTTACCGTACACATGGGTCTGATATAGATTTATTTTATAATTGAGCATTTCAGGTCTACTGTTTTCTGTCATAGTACAGAAAAAAATCCTGGTTATTTCAATATTTGCTCCCTGCTTGTAAGTTCTTCAGGTCTATTCAGTGTGCATGTGAACATGTTTTACCACCACTGTTAAATAGAAAATACACATTGGTTAGTTTATTCACTAGTGGAATAGATTTGCCATTGATGCTTCCTTGTATGAGGAGTTAAGCATTTGTGGATATAATCTCTAGCTTCACAGGCTAGAGAAAAAGTTAATTGAACTATTTCATTATCAAGCTTATGACCTAGTTTTTCATTAAACGCTTTGTCCAAGCCAACTAAGCTAACTGACTATAATGTTTAAGTAATTATCCTTTTCCTGTTAATATACTTTAATATTATGCCTGTATCGATCATATGCCTGTGTCAGAAACACCCTGAAAGTTCTTACACCTTTGGGGAAATTCTGTCCCATTTAACACCTCGCGTGACAATTAGTTTAAAGCTTGCATTTAAAATTTCCCAGTGAATTTACAATAAATTATCCTTAAACTGCTTTTTTGCATTTTTTGGAGGCATATATGCAGAAAAGAGAACAATATTTGTCTTTCTGCTTCACAAAGTTTTGTGAGGAAAGACTGGTCTTTATTATAAATTTTCATGCAATTAAAAGGAGTTTTAGAGATGCTAAACAGTAAGTGCTTACATATAACAAGAGAATTTATTGACTAGGTTGTTATTCATCCTTATAACAATTTCTTTCAGATGGAGTTTATCCAGAAATTTTCCCCTAAAGAAGCAGAAAATCTGCCTTTGTGGCAGCATATTTCCTTCAAGGCTTTTTCTCCTGAACCTAAAAGCCAAATAGCAAATGAAGTCACCATGGTGGGAATTGCACAGTGTAAGAAATGGCTAAGCAGCAGGCATACTTTGGGAGAACTTGAATCCGTGGTAAGAAAAGAGCTAGAAAGTGATTGAAATTACTCTTCAGCATCTTAGATTATTAAGAAATTCGTGTATTTGCTGTTCTCTTGTTAAATGTAAATTATGCTCTCTCTTTGCCAGTGACACAGATACAAGATAAAAATAAATTTAACACAGTGTTATATTTATGCTGGGAAAATTTTTGATTATGGATACTTGGTTATTCACCCCACCATTAAAAATTTAACAAATGATCATTGAGCAGTGGACCTAAAGTGACTGGCTTTGACTCAACTGCATCTTCCTTCAAGTCTGTAGCTTTTTAGGATATCACCTCATAAAATAAGGGGCATTAAAAAGGAGATCATTGAGATAATACAATGCAGGTGGCTCTTCTCAAAAGAAGATGCTACTCAAAATCATTTAACAAAAATTATTAAGCACCGTGTATTATATAGTACCATACAAGTGTTTAACTTGTAATTTAACATAATATACATTTCAATTTTTAGAATTTCCTAGGACCATAACAGAAATTATATAGTGTTCAGTAGACATATTTAGTTGGTGTGTTTGTTAATTGTTCATCACTCTCTTTATATGTAATTCCAGCAAGTCACGGGTTGGGACACAATTAAAAGTGCTTGCTTTATTGAAAAAAAAAATGTTTAAGTTCTTTTATTTTAGAGTAAATTTTTTGTCCTTAAAGGAACAAAGGACAAATTTTTTGTCCTTTAGGAAAGGTTTAAATTTATCTAATTTTTCATTTGTTGACCAAAATTCCCATGATTAAAACATGGTGGGTATGTTCCTTCTAGTGACTTATGTACTCTGGTTCTCTAAAACTAAAAATGTTTGTTTAAGCCCAGAGAGTCTGACCAGCTGGTGACTTGAAGTATTTTTTTTTATAGAAATGGAATATCAATATAGAGATAGTCAATATAATAAAGATGCACTCAAAATCTTAACTTGAAAAACATTTTGTTAATTTTGGGATCTGCTAATATAAGTGATCAAAGTGTATTGTGCATTGTGCAAAGTGTATTGTGCAAAAATCATTGCTGCATTTGCTAAATTTCCATCTTTTACCTCTCAATTACCTTTTTATGGCATAGTCATATTGTACAGTCATACATCTTAAGAGATTGAGTCAATCAGTCAACAAAGATATATTAAGTGCCTACTATGTGCCAGGCACTGGGAATACAAAGCTAAATATGATATAGCTCCTGATCTCAGGGAGCTTACATTTTCTCAGAAGGGACATTAAAGATCTTTTTTGGACTAGTGTCTTTATTTAACTTACGTCTGAATGCAGGTAAATTGGAGCTTTGAGTTTATTTTCATAGGGAATATGGTTATGTGTTGTGGTTAGTTTCTTTAGTACTACTACAGACATTTCAGTGCTTCAGTGATTGTGATTTATGATCTTACCATTGTAGCTATTTCCTCAACTGGTTCAACATCCGTGTTTTCTCAATCTTATGTAATTCTTGTCTATAGTTTCCCATAAATCCTCTGTAGAGGAATCGAGCAGTGGGCCTGGAGGCTTTCCTGTAGGTCATTCCATATTTCATGAATACCAGTGTAACACTCAGGCATTATCCCCATTCTTGATATATGACCAGCCCACCTCTTTTTATGAGTATACATATTAGTAATTATGTCTTCTGTGTCATTTCTTGAGCATAAGTCAGTGTTGGTAATATGGTGTAACGCACTGTGCATCTCTCTCTGTTGCCCTTTTGGGCTACCTGTAATTTTGATTCTTCAGAGCTCCATAATTAGCAGGCATAGAACATCACTGAGAATATAGGTTTTGAAAATGTGGACTCTTGTCTCAAGGGGCGACTTGAGATCACTGAAAATCTGATTAATTTTACCAAAAAGATTCTTCTTTCCTCCCCTTAATTCTGTGTGTCTATATCATTTGTCCATCTGGAAGCACCTGTCCAGGATACCTGGATTGCTGGGTTGCCTAAGGGCCTGTTGTAGCCTTGGCAATAAGCACTCTACATCCGAGAATCATACTTCATGTACATTGTGTGTTAAATAGTCTCTTGCGCAGTAGCCTAGGAAACCACCCACCACATCCATATGTCGTGGGTTATGTGGAAAAATGACTCCTGGTTTCCAAATAGCTGAATTACAAATGAACTAATGTAATACAACCTGTTTATAAGTTAGAGTCTGCTTGGAATTTCTTATGCTTGTTTCTAAAGAGGCTTGAGGTTTATGAACCCCCTTCAAATTCATGCTGTCTCCGGCTATTTCTCGGCTTCTTTATTTCATACTAATAGAGAAATATGGTTTTTGTTCAGGAACATGAAACAAGGGTTTTATGTTTTCAGAAATGGATCATTTTGTCAAAGAAGTGGCTGAAAAACATGCTTGGTTGTTTTTGTTGCCTCTAGATCAGGCATTCTTCACTTTTTTTATACCGTGGACTCCTTTGGCAATCTCGGGCAGCCTCCCCAGAAAAAGTGTTTCTAAATGCATAAAATAAAATACGTGGAATTACAGAAGAAACCAATTATTGAAATAGTTATCAAAGTCCCCTCTTAAAAATAATTATGAAGTATTTTGGCAGAGGTTAAGAACCTGTTTGGGGGATATACATGGATATTTTTGGAGTGTTGTTTGAGGTGGTGCCTCTGATACCAAGGGGATGAGGCTGCTGAGATTCTTACAAGACTTTGACTTGTAAACCTAATGCTGTTATTGTTTTTCTTTCTTAGAATGTTGCACTCTCTGCTTTGCTTACTGTATGTAATTCCATAAGTGAAGCTTTGGAGATGGGCCAACAAGCAGGAGTCCTGGAAGCTGTGAGTCCACTCTGGACAATCCTACATGTTAACCAGGTAAGGAAACTACTTAGCATTTCCTTGAATAATTAAACAAACTTCAATTCTGAAAGAACAATTGTGTTGGATTTTTGCTTCCTTATGCCAATTTTGTTATTTGCTAGGTTAGATCTTTGCTATTCTAGTGGCTTTCTAAGACATCAGAGTTCGCCAGGTGCTAACCAGGCTGGGGGGGAAGAAGGGGAAGGAGAGTCTTCTTGCCCTCCTACTCCTCCCTCCCCTCCACCCCCGTGTAAATCCAAAAGACTACCAAGACTGCCTGTGCTTGAGGAGAGCAGAGCCAATTTTCTTTACTTGTTTGTAGGCTTCAGAATTGTATTTTGGGATGTGTTTTTGTTAAGAAAACCTTTATGAATTGAAATAAGTTTGAGAACCCAGATAGCCATATTTTGTGATGTGCTAAACAGGCTGCTGTTATGACATTTATTCTCACATTAATATTTTAAAATTTCAGATATTTCAGTATTTTCCTAATATAGCATTTTTTGGTTCCTAAAGACACCTTAAACCAGGGTTCTTAACCTGGGAGCGTGAACTAATTTTCAAAAATATCATAATAACTGTACTTCAGTATAATTGGTTTCCTTTGTAATCCTATCTATTTTGTTTTATTCATTTCAAAATATTCTGAGGAGTCCTTAAGTGTGGGGTCCAAGTGGGGGTCCAAGACAAAAAAAGATTGAGTTCCTGCTTTATATTGATGCCTCTATTCTTCATGAGATAAATAGAATACTTGTAGAGAAAAAAAATAGAATTTTAAAGAGAAAAGATAATATTGCCAAGTGGCAGATAAGGCATACCTTTTATACTTGAGAATTTACTTTTTTATTTATTATGTTTATTTACTTCACAGTTTTGCCTTCTTTCTTATTGTGTACGTGTTTTTGCGTGGTTTCTTATGGGAAAAGATAAGCCTTTGATTTTTTTTTTTTTTAAACACAAAGCCAACCATGTTAGAGAGGTCACTTTTGATGATATCCGATTGAGATACTGTGATTCTCTGTTGAGCTGCAGTAGACAGCTGAGTCTGACAGAAAAATTAATGATAAATTTTAACCTGACCTAATTGGAGATTAAAAAAAAATCTTTTAATTCCAAGACACTATTGCTTTAAAAAGAGAGTTTACTTGACTGTTCTGCCTTTTCTTCTTATATTTTATTTTTTTTTATGACTTTTCCTGGTGAAACCAGATTAAATGTGAAATGAAGTATGAATAACTTTTCTTCTCAATTAGCTGGAAATGCTGTAATCAATACTGTTGCATTCTGGTATTTGCTAAGGTCTCAAGTCAGCCTTATGTTCAGTGGACCCTCAGCCTTTTACTTCCACTCTTGGGATTTTTCGTACAGGCTGTAGAACCTCAGCTGATAAGTCAGGTAAGAAAATTGTTCCTGAATAAATTGAACTACTCATACCTAGAATATTTCTAGGGAATTATTTTGACTTCTACTAATTTAACAAGGGTTATTTTGAAGGATATGTTTTTCACTTTACTTGGTTATACCATTATTGAACTATGTATAAACTACATGGAAGCTTATTCCTCAAATTATGGTTGCCTTGCTTATTCAGAGGCTAATTATCCTTTCTGTTTACTTTACCTTCTCTTTTCTGCAAGTCTTGAAGCATTTTCTACATAGTTCTGTGAATGTCCCATCTCCCAAAAGCAATCCCAGGTCAGCTGTCATTTTTTTCCCCACGACCTAGCAGTCAGATGTTGCAGGTCATTTACTTATAATCTAGTGCAACTTCTGTGCTATGGTGTGGAGTAAGATCAAATTGGATCTAGGTGACTTGTTTCCCTAATAGTTAATAGGGCACAGTAGGGGTAGAGAGATTTCAGGACTTAAATGACTATTTCCTCTGGGGAATTCTTGTAGAACTGGATCAATTCTGTTCTCTATCTGGTGGTTTTCAGCTGTGGAACATTATAAGGGAGGTTATGAGAGGGCCCGGACCTTACAGGATCTCTCCAGGGTATGGTTTAAAAAGTACAGAAGAGTGTTAGAACCAATTGACCCACATGTAGAAATCCGTCCCACTAGATCAGGATCTGGTTTGAACCTCGAAGGGATAATCCTTCAGTGCGTGACTTAAATAAGGCTTGCCAAAGCCTAAGCTGAAATCCTCCGCCACCTAGGAGAGACAAGCAACGTGCATGTACCTTAATATTTAATAAAATGGTGACACCCAAGATATCTTCTGGAGAGGGCAATTATTGCTTGTCTCATGCTGACACACATGTTGGGGAAGAAAGAGATGAAAACAAGTTATTTGTAGCTTTGGTTGTAGGATTTTTCCATGCAGTTGAAACTAATGACCAAGTTACGATAGGAAATTTACCTGTGAGCTTTAATTGAAAAGGATAGTAGCTGATAATTATATAGAAAATTACATAGATTGCAAAGGCTCATCCATACCTTATTTGATCTTCACAGCATCCCTATGAAGTCAATACAGGTATTGTCCCTGTTTTAAGAATGAGGAAACAGAACCAGGGAAGTTCACAGAATCGTAGAATTTTTAAGAGTTGGGAGGGACCTCGGCTGCCATCTAATCCAAACCATACCTTGAAAGGAGTTCCTACTGTAATGTAACCCTACAGTTATCTTCTAGCCTTAACCCACTATTTCCCAAGACAGCCCGTTCCATTTTTGGACAGCTGTAATTGTTACCAAGTTTTTCCCAGCATCAGGCCTAAGTTTCCCTCTTTGTATCTTCCACCCATTATTCCTGGTTCTATTCTCATGCGCCAGAGTAAGATTGATCGCTCTTCAGTATGCCTTTTAGGTACAAGATGATAACTATCATGCTCCTCCTTATTCTTCTCTTCCCCGGGGCTTCCTTTAGTTATTTCTCATATGACGTGGCCACTCACCATCCTGGTTACCATCCCCTGCATGTTCTCCAGCTTATCAATGTGTTTCCATAATTATGGCACCTAGAATTGAACATATTACTCTAGATACGATCTTATTAAGGTGGAGTACAGAGGGTGCAGTGAACAGAGTGCTGGGTCTGGAGTCGGGAAGAACTGAGCTTAGATCTGGCCTCAGACACTTACTTGCTGTGTGACCCTGGGCAAGTCACTTAATCCCGTTTGCCTCAATTTCCTCATCTATAAAAGGAGCTGGAGAAGGAGATGGCAAACCACTCCATCATCTTTGCCAAGAAAACCCCAAATGGGGTCACGAAGAGTTGGACATGATTGAACAACAGCAACACAAAAGGACTATGACCTTTTCTGAAAATGATGCCTCTCACTGTAGTCCAAGATTGCATAAGATTTTTGTCTACTACTTCAACCACTGATTCATATTCAACTTGTCCACTAAAACCCTCTAGTCATGTTTATATAAGCTATTGTTGAATCATGCCTCTCCCATACCTGTGAAGTTGGTTTTTCGAACCTAAGTATAACACTTTATTTCTATTGCATTTCATCTTATTAGATTCATCCCAATGTTCTAGTGTATCAGGATCTTATCAGATCCTAATTCTGTCATCTAGTGTGTTAGCTCTACCTCCCAACTTTTTGTCAGTTTGCAAATTTGATAAATGTATCATCTGTACCTTTATTCAAGTCATTGACAAAAATGTTAAACAGCCCTGAACCAGACCCAGTACCCTAGGGCAGCATTCCACTGATCACTTGCCATGTTGTCATTGAACCATTAAAAACATCTCTTTGATTCTGGTCATTCAGCAAGTTCTGAATTCATCTGATTGCCATATCATCGAGGCCAGCTCCTTCTCCTTCTACATGAAAATATAGAATACTTTAAAGCACTTGGCTGAAATACAGGTTAAACTGTGACTGCAGCTTTCCTCTCATCTACAAGTTTAGTGATCTTGTCAGGAAAAAAAAAGAAATTGTGCTTGTCTAGCATGATTTGTTCTTTATGAAGGCCTCTTTGTTAGCTCTTTTTAAAACCTGACACCCTTTTCTAGATAATAAATTAAATGACTTACTAATGTTCATACAGATAAGGAACATCAGAGGCAGGATGCACAATTAAGTGTCTCCTAATTCCAAGGTCAACTCTCTTCAGTACATTGAGATTTCTGTCTTCAATTATTACACATAATAAAAAAAAGAAACTTTATGCATGGTCCATTCTCTCACTTGTCCAAATGGAGTAGATTCTTTTTCTCAACTAGTATGTCTTAATTTAGTGTCTTTATACTATTTCAAAATTCGTTTACATAAACATGCATAATAAATAATAAATAATGTGTGCCTGTATACTCTGGTTAGTAGAGAATTATCATTATAATATCTGGATTATAATTAGAATACAGGAAATCTCCAACTTACCTCCTGTACATACAAACCACAGCATGGCCTAGTACCTGCAGGAACTCCCTTTACTCTTCCCTGTTCCTAATGCTTGTAGGGGTCATTGTAGATAAATTCCAGGCATCTCAAATTAAGTCAGAATGAATTTTCATGGAAAAATATTATGTAGCGTTTTAGTCTTTTCTTATTTATTTATGATCTCTCTGTGCCCTGTTAAGTGGCCAGTTTGATTAAACGTGCCATGTGATGCTGAAAGTGTCTATATACATACACATTTAGATGTAACTATAGCTAGTAATACCTTCTTTAGTTGTCCCATCAAAAAGGCACCGTGAGTCTTTTAGCTTTAAATTCTCCAACAGTTGGTTCAATTCCATATTTTCCATTTTGTTTATTTTTTATTAGATTTGTGCAACTCAGAGAGGAACATTAAGGTCTTCTATTATTATTGTATTACTGTCTATGTCTTTTTGTAGTTCATTTAATTTTTCCATTTTGAATTTGGATGCTATGCCACTTGGAGTATATAGGTTTAATATTTATATTGGTTATGCTATATAGTTCCTTTTTAGCATCATAAAATTTCCATCTATATCTCTGTTTATATTGTGAAATTTTATTTCTGTTTTGTCCGTACGATTGCAACTTCTGCTTTTTTTCACCTGATACATTGTAAATTTTGTTCTGGCCTCATATTTATTTTTAAATATTAATTTTAATAATTAAATATTAAATCAATTAATTTAAATCTTAAAGGCAACAGTTATGAGGTTTTATTTTCTTGCTCTTTTTATTGGATTATTTAATGCATTTACATTTGAAATTGAGTTACATTTATATTTTCTCCTTTTGCTCTCTAATTTTTTTTTTAATTAGGGATTTTTGTTCCCCGTCCTCTTTTAAATCAGGACTTTGTCTCTACAGTTGACTGTGCTTAATCTGCTTTGATGTAACTTTATTCTCACAGACTTTCTTCTCCCTCCTTCTCTTCTACCCCTTCCCTCCAATTTGTTAAACCTTTACATAGTCTTGGAGTTTTACTTAACCTATTAGTTTTTCTTTCTTTTTCTGTACCTTTTTCTAAGAAGCACTTCTTTACCTTATTCTCTTCGCTAAGTCTATTCCCTTTCTATATTCTGAACTATTCATTGATTCATAGTTGATTCACTAATTTATTCCTTCTCTCATCTCTTTGTGTTCCTCTGAAATTTGAGTTCTCTAACCAGTTCTAACCATTTTCTCCAGTATTACCTTTGTAGGTCTTTCCTCATCATCCCTTTTTTTTTTTTCTGTTGTGCTTCGTTCTTAGAAATATCAATTCATGAAGGAAATGGTGAGGATAGAACCATTGCGCAATGGAAGAAATTGCCATGTGTCCCACAGTGTGTTGTTTTATTCTGCCCCCTGCCTTTCTGTTTGCCACATAATCTCCCCTCTCTATGTCCTCCAAATATTTTATGTTCTAGTTGCCCCAGGAACTCTGATTTCCTTTCTTCCATTGTAGAATGTTATTCATGGAAGCACAACTTTCTCTGAGGAAAAGATCTCCCTCTGCAGCCTAAACTCATTCTAAGTCTTTATCTCTCATTATAGACATCTACTGCTTCTTGCATGGCAGTACTCTTCAGTGGATCACCCTCCCCGCACTGGGATGAGATTTCCCATTTTATTACCCCTGCTTGAGTCCCTCCCTTTTGCCATCTCTCACATGGTCCTCTAGTCCCTCTTTTTGTTTATTAGAAACTACCAGAGTTATCTTCCCTTCATCGTTAACATATGGACTTGATTATGGTATGTCACACATCCCTCTATCCTTCTACCTCTCCTCTTCCCATGTATCCATCCTCCGATACTGTGATTTCGTCCCACAAAATACATTGATTCACTTGAGGGGTTATGAGGTGTAGTCCTTGGTCTAGACCTTTTATGCCTTTGTCTTTTCTCCTACTTCTTTAAATTTTGCCTTCATCTTTATCCCTTTGTGTGCTTTTTAAGAAATCATTTAAATGTCCTGTTGTTTTTTTTTTTTAAAAATCCTATATGTCAGTTTTTCTTTTTCTTTACTTTCCTTGGTAGTTGTGTTTATTTACCTTTTTTGTGTTATGAGTATTTTCAAATGGAGTCATCTGCTCCCATCAGGCTTCCTTCCCCCTTCCCACCTCTAGCCTCCTCTTCCCACCATCCACCCCAGTGCTTGAAATGCCTATTTTTTTTTAAAACTGAATATTGATGTTTTTTTCATTGATTAGGCTCAGGTTTGCAGGATTTATACTTTTGTGTCACATTTTGAACTCTTGTGCCTCAAAATACATTATTACTTCACTTGTGCAGTTTCTTGTGGGTGCAGAATAGTAATAGTCTTATGTTAGTTGAATATCCTTTATATTTGAAGGTCTTTTTCTATCCACTTGCAGAATTTGTTGTGATTGGAAGTGTTAAATTTATCCTGCTATGTGTCTTGGCATTTGAACCTTAAGGTCTTTTTTTTTTTTTTTTTTGAAGGCATTCTATGGATTCTTTTGATTGGTGCTTTGTTTTCTGTATTCAGAAAATCGGGGCGGTTTTATTTCCTTCACAAAGGTGTTCAGATTCTTGAATTTGTTGTATTCTTCTGAGATATCTGTGATCTTTAAATTATCTTGAGGCATTCTGTCTTCAAAAACAATGATTTTAAAATGCCTTGGTAAAAAGAAAAATCATTATACAATCCAAAGGTATTATAATATGCAAGAAATAAAGCTGGTTACAGGAGTGTATAGTAGGTTCTTTTTATGTTGAATATAGTGAAAAGTACACAGTACATTTATATAAACATCTCTAAAATTTTATGATTAAGGACAGGAGTTTTATAGAGTACTACTACTTAAAATAACACAATATGAAATCCATATTTACTGTATGTATTTCTATCACAAAGAGAGCTTTTGTTTTTCAAGAAGATTTACTTCCTGAATTTATTTAAATACCATATTCCCCTAGTATATTTAAAATATGATTTAAAACAATTCAATTATCTACATCTAAGAAGCTATATATAACAGGCATAATGTACATAATATATGTCATATATTATATATGTGTATATATTATTGTTTAAAGCTGTATAATTCTAAAATTATATATTATAAATATATACATTATAAAATTATTAGTTGTTCTATAATTTTGTCAGACTTCATAAAACAGATGTTAAGTTTAGAATTGATTGTTTCAAGTGTTGAGTGATCTGTGACCATCTAAGGTTTCAGTATGTAAGTATTCTTAAGTCTTTTTTTTTTTTTTAAGGTGGTAACTCTGCAGACTTCTCTACTTAAATTGGATCCTCCTGACTATGTCCGTTTGGCAATTCTGGATTTTGTGTCTTCTTTAGGGAGAATTTTTTTTCCTCAAGCTATCCAGGTAATACTCTACAGCTCTATTGTTTCTGTATTGTTTCTCAAATATGAAGGTGGGGGTAGGGGAAGCCATCTAAGATTTAAGGAGGGATGAGAAAGCTTGAAAAAGACATTGTAGTTAGTGGAATAGTCAGTTACTTAGGGAGGTATACAAGGATTGCCTTACACCAGTGAGGTCCCAGGTGGAGGTTATGTAACATGAAATTGTAATGGACCCAGTCAGCAAGGTTTTATGAATTTTTTTTCCCCCAATATTATTCAGCAGAGAGTAAGGAGGAGCAAAGGCAGCGGACTGTGGGAATAATTTACAGTCCCTCAGCATGGCAGGATAGGCAGTAGGGTAAGAGGATAAAAGAGTCAAGAAAAGTGGACAGTGTAAAGTTGAATTAGTTCATCAAAAGGTCAAGATGGGGAAGGGAAGAGTGTTCAGCCAGTTGTGATGGTGATGGCCTGGGAAAGAAGCAAAGGGTTAACAGTTATTTTCTTAGTGCAGAATGTATCTGAAAGAATGAATAATTTAACAGATTCTACTGACTTAACTTCTAGGACCCTAACACATTCTGGGCTTTGGATATTACATGTATTTTTGGATGTAAAAGAGTCACCTTATTGGAATAGAGTAAATTTCTTTTTCTGAAGTATTAATGTATTATATTAAATGAGCAAGCATTTATTAAGTGCCTTGTATGGTCCACATACTGTGCCAATCACTAGAGCTACAAAGAGAGGCCAAAAAACAAATCAAAACCGTTTTTGCCCTCAAGGAGCTTGCAGTCTAAAGAGGACAACATGTCAACAACTATGTACAAATCAAGCTAGGTGAAGGATAAATTGGAGGTCAGCACAAAGAAAAAGCACTGGTATTAAGGGGGAGTGGTAAAGCCTTCTTATAAAAGGTTGGATTTTACCTTTGACTTGAAAGAAGCCAGGAGGCAGAGATGAGGAGGGAGAGAATTCCAGCCTATGAAAATGCCCATTAGGACATGGGGTGTCTTGTGGAAAAAACAGAAGGAAGGCCATTGTCACTGGATCACTGAGTATTTGGAGGGATGTAAGATATAAGGAGAATGGAAAATAGGAAGACACCCCTTTTGAAGGGCTTTAGAAGCCAAAGCTTTGTATATTTAATCCTGGAGGTAATAGGGAGCCACTGGAGTTGACTGAATGGAAGAGTGATCTGGGCTTTAAAAAGACCAGTTTCACATCTGAGTGGAAGATGGACTGTAGTGGGGAGAAACTTCAGACAGGAGACAGCCCGAAGGCAATGGGAGTTGTCCAGGCAGGTGGTGAAGGCCTTCACCAAGATGCTAATGGTTTCAGAAGAGAGAAGGGGGTATATCCAAGAGCTGTTATGAAGGTAAAAATTACAGGCCTGAGCACTAGCTTGGATATGGGTAAGAAGAGTGAGAAGTCGAGGATAACGTCCAGTTGCAAGCCGGGGTGACTGGCAGGTGCTGGTCCCTTTGACAACCTGTTTTTTGTAGGTCCTTAGAGATGAAGTAGGCAAAGAGTTTGTGTGGGATAAAAATCTTTTTCTCACCTTGTCTTGACCCAATTTCACCTTCACTTGACCTAATTTATTTGATTTAAGATACTCTTCAATCCCTAAAACCAGAATTGAAAAGATGTGAATTCCAAAGTTTATATCTATGCATAGCTGTCCACATGTTTGACTAAAAAAATTATTTGTTTCACCTTTAATCCAAGTGCTCTAAAGGTGTCAGTGAGACAGAGAGAGAGTGTGTTGGGGGTGGTGGTGGGGGGCTGTGGGGATATGTTTTTCTAATGTTGCATAGAATTCGGTGGACCTCAAATTATCATCTGAGGCGGTTGTACTTTATTCTCATAATTGAAGAGAATACCTTTGTTCCAAAAAAGCAACAGATTTTTTTCCCAAAAAATTTTTATTTTGCCAGGTTGTTTCTAGTGAATGTAAAAATTCATCAGGGCACAAAATTCACTATGATTCTGGGTTATTAGATGTTTATGTTAAAAGTTTGGAATAGTGAGAAAATTGAGTTACAGAATATTTTAAAAGAAATTAGTGTTTTTAGCCAACATAAGAATTAAGCTTATAAAGTATAATTAATTACATACTTACATGGGATGTTTTATTTTGTCATTGTGTGATGGTGTTCCCTCTGGAGATTCCAATCACAAGGCGATACTGCCTGGCCATCCTGTGCAACTTTTGGTCTTGCCCACCTATAAGTTTGTCATTGGGAGTCTTCCACATGAGCCAGGGAATCTTCCTTGATTTCTCTAGACATTACAAGAATGCCAGTGGTACACATAGTCTTTCCACAGGTTATCCTTATCACATGACCAGTCCATCTTTTTCCCTCATATATTCCTTTGATGACATCCCTTTACTCTGCTACTTGGGAATCTCGTTTGAAAATGTTGCAGTTTACTCTGGCCCTTCATGCTTTTTGAAAATAAAAATAATAAAACATAATCCGTTGTTGATCTTACATTAACTGAGGTCTTTTTAATCCCTTTGTGTAATAAGCTCTTCTCTTCTTACAGGAAAAAGTTTTACCGAGTTTGCCTTCCATTTTTACCTTGCTGCTAACTGATAAGAGTTGGCTGATAGAACAGCATACCTTGGAGGCATTTACAGACTTTGCAGAGGTAAGTATAAGACTGGTCTAATTGGGTGAATTCACTAATATTTTTTATTAAACCAATAAATAATTACTGTATTGTATGAGAACTTTCTGTCTTCAGTAACTTCTGGGTTGTGCATGAACTTTAGCAGTACCAGTTTCTGGTCCTTCATTTAGAGCATAGCACTAATTAGACCAAAGTCATCATTAGTTAGGTCTGGTCCACTTCCTGAGATAAATATTGTTCCACAGCCACAAATTACAAGGCTTCTTGCAGATAAACACTTTTGTCCGTAAAGGCTACCAGAGGTGTGAGTATGATTAGCCAATAGCAACTTCATCCCCTTAAGAAGAACAATTTAAAGATCATGTTTTGATCATGATAGAGCCAAGATAGCTGAGTAAAGGGAACATTTTTTTCAATCTCTCCTCACATTCCCCTCTAAACAACTTTAAAAAGCATGTCAAATTGAATTCTAAGCAGCATAATGAACAAGCCAGAGTGAGCCATTTTTCCAACCCGGGACAGCTTAGAAGGATAGAGAGATCTGCAGCACTGAGGTGGGGGCTGGCTAGAAGTGACACCAGCAGGGGGCCTTGGAGGTAGAAGCAATAGCAGCAGCAGTAGCAGTACTAGGAGCACTCAGCGTGCAGAAATGGCAAGGGGATTGAACACCTGATCAGAAAGTGGGCACAAGACTGGGTTACATTTGGCAACTCCATTAACCATTATCTGGTTCTGGGTTGCATGACTTCCTGTGTGTGATGGGTATTATATGTTATATTGCTTGCCTTGTCATTGAGTGGGGAAGGGGGTGGAGGGCAGACGAGAAGTTGGAACTGAAAGTGATTTTTTTTTTTAAAAAACACAATATAAATGTCAACTTTTATTCTGTGTTAAAAAAGAGCATGTTCCAATAATGATTGACTAGTGAAATTATTTTATCTTGGAATAGATTGCTTGTCAAATGGAAACATTGAAAGTTCTATTATTCTACTTCAAATTTTGCTAGCTTTAAGACCGTCCATTGTTCATTTAATGCAAGGATGTTGTTCAGTCATTTCAGTTGTGTCCAACTCTTTGTGACCCCATTTGAGGCTTTCTTGGCAAAGATTCTGGACTGGTTTGCCATTTCCTTCTTCAGCTCATTTTCCAGCTGAAGAAACTGAGGCAAACAGGGTTAATTGACTTGCCCGGGGTCCCACAGCTAGTAAGTGTCTGAGGCTGGATTTGAACTTAGGAAGATGAGTCTTTTGACTCAGACCCAGTGCTCTATCTACTGTGCCACCCAGCTGCCCAATGGGGGAATAGAGAGCCTGGATTCAACAGAACCACTGACACACATTAAAGGCCCGTGCAAGTAAACAGCCACATAATTGATGAGGTGCCATTTAGTTGAAAGGTTGTGCAATGTAAAATTATTCAATACATGCATCAAATAATACATTTATTTCACAAAGGGGAGGTAAAAAGGAATACAAGAAATTCCTTGAAAGCAGAGGTGGTACCTTAATTAGTATCTTTGTAAACCTTATAGCATCAACAATGCACACACAAAAAAACTTAGTGTTGTTTGAATGAAGAGAAATTAAAGAATGAGAAAGACATTCATTCAGTTAGCATTTATTAGTTGCTTCCTATGTATCAGGGGCTTTGCTAGATGCTAAGAATACAAAGGCAGCAAAATTTCTGATATCAAATAACTTATATAAAGTTATATGTAATATTTAAAAAAGAGAAAGACATTTACAGGAAAGGGGTCATTGCACTGTTTCAAGACCTTTTCAGACATAATGTCCCCCCAACAAAAGTAATTTCAAAATTGTATCATGAAAACATTTTTATAACCAAAGCCACCATAAGATTACAGATCTTTACTGTGACATTATTTGAACAATTACCTGAATTACAAATTGAATGCTAACACTTGAACCCCTGATAGTGTTAATTGTCCTGTGTGTCAGTCTGCTTATTTTGTTTATAGCATTTTTTTTTAATTAAACTGGTGTTTTAATTTTTTTTTTCCCTGGTTAGGCAATGGGGTTAAGTGACTTGCCCAAGGTCACACAGCTAGTCAGTCTTATGTGCCTGAGGCCAGATTTGAACTCAGGTCCTCCTGAATCCAGGGCCGATGCTCTATCCACAGCACCACCTAGCTGCTTCTTATAGCATTTTTTTTTTAAAGAGCTCAGTGACCCGTGTAACATTATTTCCCCAATGTGTTTTTATTTCTCCAGTTGATGCTGTTAGGCAGGCATTCCTATTTAATATGGTCACAAAACTGGTATCCACTAGTGACAGGACTTGAACCCAGGGCTTTCTGTTTCTCTTTTAATCTATTATTCCACACTGTTTCTTATGATTTGTTGTAATACAATGATAAGGTTACTGATAACTTATTTAAAATATTTGTCAACAGGGAACAAACCATGAAGATATAGTTCCACAGTGTCTTAATTCTGAAGAAACCAAGAACAAGGTTATATGCTTTCTAGAGAAGGTATTTTATTTATAGAGCCAAAATATAGGCCTATTTTGTGTTTACTTTTATATAAACTTTCTGTGAAATATTATAAATGTAATAACTTGAAGGTTTCCTTTTAAATTTTTTTTTGTATAATGCATGCCTGCTTACCACTTTATTTATATTCTATTTTATAGGACCATGTTAAAAAAAAAACAAACCAAAACATGAGTTATTTTTCTTTGAAATACCCAAATACTATTAGACTCTTCTTTGTTCTAGATTGCTTCTTGTGTTCTTTCCGTTTTCTTATGTTCATAATAATTTTACTTTGTCTGGAAAACAGCTCATCCATAGTCTCTTTCTCCAGTGTCATTGGCTCTTTCTTTCAGCAAAGCATGGCAGCTTATTGGCTGTGCGGGATGAGAGATAGGAAGGGGTCAAGGATGACCCTAGGGTTACAAAATTGGGTGCCTGATGGGATAGGCTTCAGTTATCTTAATGCCAGTCAGTTGACTCTCATTCCTATGTATCCAGCCCTAATCTCTTTCCTGAATTCTCTCCATTCTTGCATTTCCAGTTGCCTGCTGGAACACTCCATGTCTTTGTATCCTAAATGTAACATGCCCAGTTCTTTTCCTTTGTAATACTATAGTATCTGCTTCCCCCCCCCCCCCAGAATGTGTTATATAAAATGCATTTAATAGTCTATAGACATTTTCTTAATACAGCTTTAGAAGAAATTACTGAAAATGATTTGGTCTGAATTTCTGGAATATCAAATATTCTTATTTCTCTTGGCAACAAAGCAATACCCCTATCTCTTTTGTAATCTTCTTGGTCCAAATATGCCTACTAATGCTATTTTTTTTTTCATTCTTATAATATTTTACAAATCTAAATTCAGCCCAGGCTTTAATCTTCAACCCATCCACTACCTTTCTTTTGTATATACCTTCATTGTGTATGCCCCTTCTTTTATACAAAAAGTTTTCATTTCAGCTCATGGGTGACCTTTCAGTAAGACCCACAGTCTCCTTAGATGCTTTCTCCTTTTCTTCCTCTTCAGTATTTTTTACAGCTAAGTTTTCGAATTTTCATTTCTAAGACCTTCACAGTTCTTCTGAACTTATAAACATCTGCTTTCCCAAAATTTAAAGAATGTTGAAACTCAGTGCTAGGAAGGGCCTCAAAGTCATCCAGTCTGACGACTATTGCTCTAACAAATGGTCATCCAGCCACTGCTTAAAGACCTTAAGTAATGGGGAATGTGACTCCCTTATGAGGCAGCCCATTCCATTTCTAAACAGTTCTTAATATTTAGAAGGTTTTTCCTCAGATTGAGTCAAAATACGTTTTCCCTGAACCATTGGCTGTTTGGCCTTTAGGGATGGAGCAGGACAGGCTTGAGTCCTCTTCCATATAACAACCCTGCCTTCTACCTTGACATCAGAATGACACATTTGACTATGCTCAGATTCCCTTCCTTAAAATCAGGTAGTCTGTGAAAGCATAGAGACACGAGATGGAGTATCATGTACAAGAAACAGCAAGGAGGTCCATCTGCATAAACTGTGTGAGGGAAAGCAACAGCACCCAAGTCTAGAAAGATGGACTAGAGGCAGCTCATAAAGATTTTAAATGCCAAACAGGAATTTATCCCAGAGTCCCAGTGAGTGACTGAAGGGTTGTCAAACTGGCAGCTCTGTGGACGATGGACTAGAGAGGGAGAGACTGGAAATAAGGAGAGCAGTTAGACGACTGGAGGGGCAGAGCTAATGAGGCTCTGATCTAGGAGGGAGCCATGGGAGCGAAGGAGATGGAGACTGCTTTTGCAGAGTCATGGATAGCTGTGTTTCTGTTTTTGACATAGTACATTCTTCTACTCCTTCTGCTATCTCTGATCTTCTTAAACTGTTTAGGTCATACACAGTCGTAGTATCACTTCAGAGGTCATCTAGTTCAACCCCTTTTCCTCAAGCTTGAATCACCCCTAATCCCTGACAGTTGGTGATGTGATGCATTGCACCAGGCACCTGGATAATGTACTTACTTTTCTTGCATCCTTTGTCATTTCATTCGGCCCCATTAAAAATAAACATGTATGTATATTAAAACCTTATCTTTTATTGTTTGACTCATATTCAACGGTTCCTGTAACAGGCTGTATGTGCTTATGGCGGGTTTTTGTGGTCTTTCTCACAGACTAGAATGGTAGATGAAACAGCACGTGCCAGAGTGGACCGGATTAAGCAGGAAAAGCGAGTCTTAAATGGACACTTTGTTAAAGTAAAGGTTGAAAGAGAAGGATGTTTGTCAACTTTACAGGTATGAGCTTCTTCATTCAAACTTTTCATTGGTCAGAGGATGTAAAAATTCTGAACAAGGGCAAGTACCACTAACGGTGCTAAACAGTAAAAAAAAAAAGTATCAGATCCATTTCACCAGCCACAGACCCTTTCATGGGTGTGACGCTCGCTGCTCTTCACATAGAGCCTCTTTATACAGTTTAGCAACAAAGAAGAGCTTCTTAAACATGACTTAGCAGTTCAGGCTTCTTAGTCTATGATTTTTTTTTTAATGAAAGTTATAAAGCACTCCTGTACTTATTACAGCGGAACTTTTTTAATCATACTTCCTTACCATCAAGCACTAAAAAGTTGAATCATTGTGCTTCCTATCTACAGTGCTATAGAGAACATGAAATTTCCCCACACTCACTGTAGCAAATAACTTTTTACATATTGACTTAATTTTATATTTATAAGTTATATATTATCAGTCAACTATTATTCTGATTAAAATTTTGTACAATCTTTGAATAAAATATCTTTTATAGGAAAAATCCAAGATAGCTTATTTGGCTTTCCAAGATAAACTGTGTAGTGTTTTTTATATATTGATGCTTATACTTATATATACTACATAGTATATATGAATGACCAAACCAACTGTAATATTGCTTCTAATGTTTCACTGTCCAAAGTTAAATTATAGCTTTTATAAATTAAATTTTAATACTTTTTTGAAATATTAAGGTTACTTAGAGCCAAGTGAGTAAAACTATTGAAAATAGGATTATCCAGTTGGTTGTGCCACTATAAAGCAATGGGATTGGATCAGGATCAAATCTTATCACAATAAATTTTACAAGCCTGTTTCCAAGGTGCTATTAACCTCTGAATTGCCAGTTCTAATGGCCTTTTTTCAGTCTTCATCATTCTTGACCTCAATTGCACCCATAGACACTATTGATCCTAATTTCCTGGATAATTTCCCCTTTCTAGGTTTTAATGACACATTGTCTGAGTTCTCCTGCTTGTTTAACCTACCATTCAGCTGCCAAAATGATTTTTCCTAAAGTACAGGACTGACCATCTCACTGTCCTACTTAGTAAGAGCTCCCTATTATCTTCAGGATCAACACACTTCTCTTAAGACTTTTAAAGCCCTCCATAGAGACTCATTAATGCTGGACTACTTACTCCTCAGACACTCCCCACCTCTGAGCCTTTTGCTGTATATAATGTGCATGTTTCCCTCATTAGAATGTGAACTCCTTGAGGGCAGGAACACGATGCCTGGCCCACAGTGTTTAATAAATGCTTATTGACTTTCCTGATTTTACTATTTACGGCTTGAGAGAAGTGGATCATTGACTGAAGTTTGAATATGACATTTTTGTTGTAATGGAAGCATTTAGGAGAGGGGTAAGGACTGGACTTATGATTTCATTGGGGTTAAGGAATTCCCTCTACTAAGGTAGATTGGCACCTTCTCTGTAACTTACTTACCTTGGGTCACTTAGCCAATGTTTGTCAAAGGCAAGACTTGAATCCAAGTCTTCCTAGCTCCAAGGGAAGTTAAATTCTCTCTCCTCTACACCATTAATAAACAGGCTTTGACTTTCTTTATAATGAAGCTGCATTCTAAAATGAACAGATGGATATGATATGATAATCATCATTCACAGCCCCGTGCCAAGAGAATACGGCAGGAGTTTCCCCTGGAAGAGGAGTACAGGTCAACATTGCAAATAGCAGAAGGGGCCTTAGAAGCAGTCCAGTTACTGCTGCAAAGATCTCCTGCCCCTGGTTGGCTAACGGTGAAACTAGAGGAGCTACAAATGAAGATAAATACATTAAAAAGTTGTGCACAGGTAGGACTTTACCATTAAGATCATGTAAAATGAGTATTATCTTGATTGTATTGTATATGTAAAAATGTGGATGTGATTATGTATCTGTTTTATAATACACAGCTGAAAATAGACTTGAAAATATTTTTTATTGGTCATGTTTAGAGAATAGAAGTGATGTTCTCATTAAGAACTTTGGTGTCTTTTAGAACAGTCCACAAAAGGGCCAGGTTCACATAGGACCTCATCATACAGCCGTACATATAAATAAATAAATAAGTTGCCCAATTATCTGAAATAATTCATCCAAGCTCTAAGTGAGCCATTAACAGTGGGACTTAATTCTTCTGGCTATAGGAAAAAAAAATGGCACAAAATTAAGTTAGAAACTAAAATTTTTGTGTTTATTATCTTCAGTTTTCTAGAATTGTCCTGGAAAAATAAAAAATACAACCTTTACTTTCCACAGCCACTTGACATGGAATCTGGCCTCAGATACAATAGGTCCTTTCTCCTGGAATCCAGTGGTGTGAATTTTATTTTCACCCATGGCTTTTAGCATAGGTCTCAGTTACTCCACAGCCATTGGCACAAACTGGGAAAAAAAGCTTCCTGGTACAGGAAAAATAGGCTCTGTTTGGGTCATCATGACCTCTCTGTTAGGTGCCTGCTGTTGAGGTAATAATTTGTAAAACCAATATAGAAAATATTTCTGGAGTCCGCATCATGCTAGTTGTCACCAGCTACTATCATCTTCTTCCCAATTTAATTCCTCCTCTTCTCCCCAGCCTTCAGCTTCTTCCTGCAACAAGAACACGTGAAATAAAGTACGTGCAGAAGAACGGAATGGGCCACACTTCGTCAAGTTATATTTTGCCTCCAAAATATAAGAACATTCTATAAAACCAGATAACCCTTAACAACTAGGACTGGAATTCTGAAACCTTTGTCTCTTTCCAAGGTTAATAATACCACTAAACCTGAAAAAATAACAAGGTATGTAAACTTTACTTTAGAGACTGGTTTTACTTTCTGATCAACTTATCTCAAGCACATTGATTAATGAGCTGCAGTACTAAACTTACTAATGACAAAAGCATATCTGTTTAATTATTTAGTCCTCTGCTGGCCTAGGATAAATCAAGATTAATAAAGCAAGCCCATTTTATTATCTTTGACCACTTGATCTATTAAAAAAACTATCATTCAATGAGTGTCTTTTCATGCAAACACTTATGGATACCAAAGCAGATTGGCTTGAGCTGCTATCGAGAATGAATGAACAAGAAGTTCTTAGAAATCCTGTAAAAAATGTTCATAATGAAATTTTATTTCAGGATACATATAAAAATTATTGCATTTTGGTTGACAACTGGATCATAACATGCTGATAACTCTTTCCATATTTTAAGGCTTCAATGTTCCTTCTTTAATTCCTAAATTCAATTTGTTTTCTCCACTAACATAAAAAGCAAACTCCCACCCACTTAGCTCAAAGCAGTGATTCTCTCTAATAGCAAAGTTGGTTTAAATCAGTTCATGTATGCACACCTGGTGTGAGAATCCTGGACCAGTAAAGTGAGTGCAGCTTGTTTTACTGAAATGATTACAGGAGAATTTCTTTCCAACACCCTGTAACTTAAGAGGAAACAATCCTCACCTCAGTGGCTTCAGTTGCAGCAAATTTTGACGAAAATTGCAGAGTAGGTGAGATATCTTCTTTGGGAGCTCTCGTCTCTGTCCTCAGTTCAGGTAAGATTAGGAAAGCTTCTGAAGGCTTAATTTCTGGGATCATATCAGCAAACCAGTCCAACTCAGGATCTTGTATGGGTTTTCTTTTCACCTGAATAGTGTATTCTTCTCCTAAACCAAACTCAGATGGAGCTCTAAGAGACCTCTCTTGTGGCAATTTTGTTTGTTTTAAATCATTCCAGCTTCCTGTGGGGTCAGCCTTTAGGGGTGGGTTCACTGTTAGAGTCTTGGTCTCCTCTTTGTCTAGAGGAAGGACAACAGGATCTTGCTTCTGCTCTCTTGCAGTACTGGGCCTTGCTGTACCGAGGCCATTCCCTGGAGATGCTTCAGGATCAGTAGGCTCAAAGTTATCCCAGCTCTCCTCCAGCTTCAAATTAGTAAAATGAGGCCTCGGATTCTCACATGACTCTACAGGCCACATCTGTATGCTGACCATCTGGTTCTCCTCAGGCTCCTCAGGCTCACTCCAGTCTGGCCATTCTTCTCCTGATTTTTTAGAATTTGAGGGAGAGTTTGTGCCATCCCCTGAAGCACTTCTTATTGGTGGGACTCCATTCATGGAGAGCTGAATAGGCTGAGATGCCTCTTCACCTGTGGGAGAAATACAATTATAAAGGTAACCCAGGTTTGGGGTTAAATGAGAATGTGTGTCAAGGATTTCTTTACAAAGTATAAGAGTGGTTCATATTTGATGCTAGAAGCTGTTCTGGCAACAGACCGACTCTCAAAGCTGCAGTTGAAGAAGCTGCATATATCAGGCTGCTTGAAAAAAGGAGAGGCAGGGGCAGGCAGGTGGCACAGTGGATAAAGCTCCGGGTCCAGCCTTGGAGTCAGGAGGATCTGAGTTCAAATGTGACCTCAAAACGCTTGACACTTACTAGCTATGTGACCCTGGCCAAGTCACTTAACCGCAATTACCTCACCAAAAAAAAAAGCGGCAGCATGAATGCAACTGCGAGAAGCACAGCACAATCCCAGGTTCAAATTCCAGGTTCACTTCATATTGCCTGTGGGACTGTGGCTAAGTAAGTAAGTTAATTTCTGTAGTTGCCTTGTCTGCAAAATGAGGGATTTGGAGCTCCGAAGTCCCTAATTCTGTGTTCTAATGAAATAGCATGATAATAAAATACCCAGTCCAAGAACATCCTATAAGGGAATACAGATCTAGTCTCCTTCAGATTATAGGGGAATGGCTTCATGGCTGTCCCCTGTACCTTTGGGAAAGAAAGAAAACTGTCTAATAACTGAGCAATTAGGATGGTCTCCTTTTCTTGCCTAGATGCTTAATAGCTATAAAAATAAATTTAGCCTACAAACCAGCTTGTAAGTTTCTTTATCACCAGACATGGAACGCAGGGAAAAAAAGTAGTGAGCCAGACACCAAAGTCATTCAAAAAGATATTTTAGTGGTTCTTTTCTGAGGGGGTAGTATGATTCTGAAAAGGGTAACAAGCAGAAATAGCAAACTACACTATTTTGAAAATGTGTAGTCCATAAATTAGAAAACCTCTACACTCTTGTCTCTGTCCTCAGTTCAGGTAAGATTAGGAAAGCTTCTGAAGACTTAATTTCTGGGATCATATCAGCAAACCAGTCCAACTCAGGATCTTGTATGGGTTTTCTTTTCACCTGAATAGTGTATTCTTCTCCTAAACCAAACTCAGATGGAGCTCTAAGAGACCTCTCTTGTGGCAATTTTGTTTGTTTTAAATCATTCCAGCTTCCTGTGGGGTCAGCCTTTAGGGGTGGGTTCACTGTTAAGAGTGATTATTCTTGACTATTATAAGCCTAAAAATTTAGAACAATATAGTCAGGACTTCTAAAAGCAATCCTGGTCAATTAAAGAACTATGTACTTCTTTGCTCCTTCAGTCAGTAAGGAATCCTAACAAATGACCGCTGACGTTTGTACACCTGTCAGGTTTACAGACTTCTTTCTACTCATTCCTGTGATCTCTTAAAAAAAAAAAGCCCCAGTCTAATGAAATAAGTCCATTATCACAAGCAGTGTCACTTCCTTTTTACAGAGGAGGGAAACTGAAGTTCATCAAGAAGGTCAGTCACCAAGAATGATCTCGACCTCCAACTGTGTACTTCTACACTCAGAACAGACTGGTGTATTTTCTCCTACGTAGGAGGTAACAGCTCAAGTGAACAATGGCAGACAGGAGTAGGCTTTTGATACATATTGGTGAATTACCTTAAGTATCTCTCTTTTAGGGCAGAAGATAATGGTTGTTCTTTAAAGTATTAAGTTTTCATTTGAACCATATTCAGTTGACACCAAGGAGTCGAAAGCAGCTTCTTAACCTTTCTGAGGGAAGCCAAAGGCGGCTACAGCAGGAGTGCTTTTTTCCTGGAGATCATTTAGCATAAAGACACTAGGACCTTCTAAGGACTCCACTCCATATTATCTTTCATTTATTTACCTTTTGAAGAAACATCAGCTGTTTTTGTGAAACTTGGTGCTGTGCGTTTGAATATCTTGGTTCTTTCTCCTCCCACGACCACCTCTGGTCCAAGCAGAGAAACCAGCACAGCCAGGCTGTGAAGGGTTATGGCTACAATACAATCATTGGTATCACGCAGGCCCAGCAAAACCTAGGGCAGGATCCGAATGTTAACATATAAAAAGTGTTTTTACGTACACACAAATGAAAGGAAAAGGATTGCAATGGTTCTCTTCCACCATTTCCTCCCTTCACCAGATTTTTGGCCCCTGCATTCCACTGTTTCCAGTCCAGCTGAAGATAGGTGAATTTACAATGATCTTTCCTCTGATGCCTCCCTCTTCAAAAAAATCACAGAATTGGAAAGGACCTTAGCAGTTATCTAGTTCTATCCATACTAGCCAAAGAGGCAGAACCCCTGACCTCCTGAGGCTGCCCAACGTAAAGCAAGTCTGTCCTGACTTAAATCCTAATTTTGTCCCCTGAAATTCTCATTTCCTGCTTAGTTCTGTCTGCCCTTCAATACCAACAAAACAAGCCTTAACCCTCTTCCAAGTTAATCCTTCAGATAACTAGTAGAACTCTCTTGAACCCTGAATCTTTCCTCTGGCATGACCATCCCCAGTTCCTTGAATCAATCCTCATACAACATTGTGACTGTCCTACACCTCCTCTAGATACTCTCCTACTTATTAGCATTCTTCCTATTATTTGGTTCCCAGAATTGAACATAGTATTTCATAAAAGAAAACAAACCACAATAAAGGAATTAGCTTCTCTTTATTCCTGGAAGCTGTCCTTCATGCTGTATTCCAATATCATTAACTCTTCAGCTGCTGTATCAAACTTTCAATTCACCAAAACTCTCCTTTTCTTCATCAGTACCATTCACACCATCAGAATTTATTTCCTTTTTTTTTTTTTAAAAGTGAGGCAATTGGGGTTAAGTGACTTGCCCAGAGTCACACAGCTAGGAAGTATTATGTGACTAAGGCTGGATTTGAACTCAGGTCATCTTGACTCCAGGGCTGGTGCTCTATCCACTGCGCCACCTAGCTGCCCTAGCAGCTAGGGATTGCCCTAGCAATCCCCTGGCAAGGATTGGAGTAGACTGTTAAATTAACATCCATGGTGGCTCCATTCTGTCCAAAGTCCTAACCCTAACCCTTTGCAATCTTTTCAAGTTTAAAAAAATAGTCGGCTTTGCCCTCTTGTAGCGGTTCAGTGTGTTAAACTCCTTCTAATTCAAGCAGCTTTGCACCTGTTTTTGGAAAAAAATACCACTCCTATAAAAACACACAAGAAACAAACAAGTTTCAATTTAGTCACGAGCTAGCCACAGGACTTTGTTGAACACAAACTCCTGTCATAGGAGATTCTTCTCTATCAATTCCTTGCCTCATAGCCAGATGTCCTTCAGTCATGTAATGTGTAGGACCTATATTGGCAGAAAATTGGTATGCTGGATGTCCAGTTATGCCAGTCTCCTGGCGGGGATTGGAGTAGACTGTTAAATTAACAGTCACTTAATTACTTAATTTCTGAGAGCTTCCCCTCTCTCAATCTCTTTTCCCTTTAAGTCTTGGTTTACAATGGTGCACTAATCTGGCATCTGTGAAACACTTTGAAAATGAAAAGTTTTAGCCTAAAGCACATCCCATGAAAAACTAATTTCTCCCATGCAGATGAATCTCATCTTAAGTTTAGATAGCAGAGGTGAGATTTAGACTTTTTGCTCCTTGCATAAAATCTACTGTTTCCAGTCCCAGTTTCTTCCCTTTTCCTACGTCCTTTTATCTAAGGACACTCCAAACTAAAGTTAATTCAAACAATAGTACACTGCATTCAGGGGTTTCCTACTGCTGCCAGTCCTACAGATTTCATCCTGACCTGTGGCAAGATGACTTTTTTCAGCTGCTCCTGAGTGAAGTACTTTGCATAGGCATCTATGTGAGACAGAAGCACCATCCGGACATGTTCTTCATGAACTTCAAACAGCTTTAGGAGCACAGGGATCACTCGGGTTTGAAAGAGAGCTGGTGAGAGCAAGCAGCCTGTCCGTTTTTCTCCCTGCTTACCTATTTTAAGAAAGGGTGATTGGTACAAAAGGGAAAATATTTCATTTTAATAAAAAGTAGCCACTGAGCTTGGTATAACTGTACAAATAAAGCAAACTACAAAGGATAGTCCAAATTTTTCCCTGAGATAATCTGCCTTTTCTGTAATACATGTGATGGTGGGCTCTGCTGAACTAACACGCTTCTTCCCATCCTCCATTAAGGCTAGCCTGGTCATGGTCCTTCCAGCTGTGAAATAAATGATGGATGTTAATGCCTAGCAGCTCTGCCCCTGTTTCTCCTGACTTTGCCTAGACCAAAAAGTAGCAAATCAGGTCATTTGCT